GCATGGAGACACTCCGTCTCCAATGACCTCTCAGGCAGCAGCCTGCACTCCCAAGTTCTAGACATCACCAGAACATAGCCAACCAACACAATAAAAGCAGTGTTATACAAAATGGAAGGCCTGTAGTGTTTATTCTCTTACAGTAACAATTTCTCAGTTTTTTTGAGGAATTTATTAGAGATTTTTTGGTTTTTATTAACTGTGCAATAAAAAAATAATCATTAGATTAATTGTGTAGTCATTCGAATTGTCGACTAGTCGATAATATAATTGTCAGAATAATCGTTTTAAAAATAATCGTTTACCCCCAGCCCTACTTGGCACTGATTAAGCTGATTAGCAGCAGGTAATCTGTTGCAGTGTTTCTGTAGAATACTAGCGTTGGAATCTGGTGACTGTGGTGACACTCAAGGAAAATGTTAAAGCTTGCTAAGAGAACAGCAGCTGGAAGAGAAAGTTGGAAACAGAACTGTGTGGGTGCCCGCTGGGGAAAACCCTAGAATGTATTTTAGAAATATATTTTTTTGCCCCATTTGTTAATTTAGGAACTTTTATGTATGGCTCAATAAAATCAAAATTGTACTTTATTTTTTCCCAAATTATTATTTATTTTTTTCAGTTTTAAATTTGAATAAATTCTGCATTTCCATTCTAAACATATTTATTAACCTTAAAGGGGCATTATGGAAGTTTGACAGCCAAAACATGTATAGAAATAATACATTTCTTCTTCATACATTCTCCCACAATGCCCTGGTCCTGTAGAATGAGCCCTGGCATTTTTACTGTGATTGCTGGTTTTTCTGTAAAATCACAGAAAAAGAGAGTTGCTCGGGTTGAGCAGGCTGCTTCATGCGCGTTCACGCTCAGGCATAGCCCTCTGAACCGTTCTTTGAATGTTGTTTCAGCTGTCATCAAGCATATAAATGTTACAGATACAAATGGCGTCACTGGCGCTGTAGCACGCCTGGTAAGACGTCGGACGTTTGTGCAGGAGACCTGAGTTTGATTCTGGGTGTGAACATAGGTTATTTAGAGTTTCTTTTTTTACATTAATGGTATTTTTTTTACAGTAAGATGCCCAAATTTTTATTTGAGACTCGCCGAACGGCATTGAACTCACAGAGTGCGTTTACATGCAGCCAGTAACCCTTTAAAAACCCGAATATTCACAATAACCCGGTTCCGCACGGCCATGTAAACACCGCCAAAAACCTGGATATGCTCATAACCGGGTTTTTAAAGACCCGGTTACTACACCTGGGGTAACCCTTTTCTAACCCGAATGTTTGGTCGTGTAAACGTATATCGGGATATCCCCATCAAAGCGTGTTCTGCGCATGCTCTGTTCGCAAGGAATCTTGGTCTTTTGAGTAGCGAGACGTCTTGTATGCGCCAGAACACCGGAAGTAAACAAGTTGGGAGCAACATGGCGAGTCGCAGCACAGCACCACACTTTTGAAGTGACGAGGAAACCTCTGTCTTCATCGGTCTGGTGAAAAGTATGAACATTATGTCTTTTGTTGACGGCCGAAAGTATAGAGACAACGAAATATGACGCATATTGCGTCTTGACGTAGTCCATACGTCCTGACGCTACCCCAACGTCCGCATTTACATCGGGTTATGCAAGTTAGGGGTAACTCTTTCTATTTATGCTTGTAAACGGGTTATTCTGATCAACTCAGAAACCCGAATACCGACCTTAACCCGATCATAACCCGGATATTGGCTACATGTAAACGTAGTCACAGATAAAAAAGATGTGGGTTCAACTTTTATTTTGGAACAATTTTTCAAGAGCATGCAGGAGGACTGACCCATCTTAAACCTTTGTCAGCTCTGCTGAAGAGGAAGGTACAGAACCAAATTATGTAATTAATTAGCTGCACATTCTCCTGTCCTCTGTCCTCCAGGCCACACACACACACACACACACACAAGGGACTGTCTCAGCTGTTATTTTCGTTAAGGAGTGTGCACGTACAGCATATGTGCCTCGTGCACGAGCCTACTATTGAAGCTGCCATTACGCTTTTGGCCTGAGGGGGCAATCGTGAGCATAAAAATTCAAAACTCCTTAAAGTCCCTTTAAAATTTTATAGTTATGAAGTGAATAAGTTTAACAAATAATTCGACACAGAATCCAAAATTGAATGTCATTTCACTTAAACAATCATAAAAAAGTGCCGTGGTTCAGCAGAACACTGAATCATTTTGCAAGATATTTAAAAGCTTGTACCCTTTTTTTGTTTAAACAACAAAAAACATTATTGTGGGCAAAACGGTGTCTGTGTTTTGTCAGTGATTAAGAAAAGGAAAAAGGCGAGGAGAAATTATGTCACAGATGAGTGTTGTGGACGGTGTTTGTAAGGCGGGCATCCCCCGTAAACCAGGGGTCTCAAACACCGGTCCTTTAGGCAGGGCTGGGCGATACGGCCTAAAATTAAAATCTCCGATTTTATTTATTTTTTATTCGATTCACGATATTTTTTTTCCGAGTCAATAAGAATAGCAATAAATACAAATGGAAGGCACCTTAAAGCCAATTTTGTTTTTTATTTAATCACAAGCAAGACAAATGTAACCCTCATTTCTGAGATGAATAATGAATAAATGAACACCCTCTTGGAATAAAAGTGCCACGCTCCACGTCCGTCGCAGCAAACCCAAACCAGTTCCAAACAACGGATGATTTAATTTCTTATAGGAACAAACTTCCCGCTCTCACCCGTGACCATGGAGTCGCTTGCTGTTGCTGTTTCGTGTGCGTGCTGTGACTTTGTTGACGCGGTTATGTGAAACTAACGCAACGGAAGCTCTGGGGGGCGGGGGCGCAAAAAGGTGCAATCACATAAAAATTTGATTAACTTTTTTTTAATCGCCCGCAACAAAAAATTCGAATTAATTCATTTAATTGATTTTTCCTGTTGGAGCACGGAAACAACTGAAACATGTTTTCATTGTTTTAATTATTTTCTAAACAGTGTAGTAGTAATTTGTTTTTACCTTTTTTTGCTGACAGGTTTCGGCTAACGCTGTAACCTTCCTCAGAGCACTCAACAAATCTACTACGCTGTGTTTAGAAAAGAATTAAAACAATGGAAGGATTAGAATGAACGTACAAAAGATGTTCAAACTGAAACACGTCATTCCATTCAGAAAAAGTGTCCTCTGAGATTCATAAAAACGAGTGGGGTATTTTTTTTTGCTCCAGCCTTAGTATTTTGTAATATTTGAGGGTGTTGGTTTTTCAGCAAGCCTTTTGCGTTCCTGTCCACAAATATTTAAGCCTGTTTTGTACATCTCCGTTAGCTCAGTTGCAGAGTGGTGCACACTCATCGACAGAGATGTTTACCTTTCCCCCATTGCCCCGGGAGTGTTGCAAAGGAATTCCTCGCCAGGACGACAGAGGGTGTAGCACTTTTCTTGGACTTTGGTCCACAAAAGTATTTTTTATAGTGTTTGTTTTTCAGAAACTTTTCTATGTGGACATATTTGTCCCTCATTCTACTTTTTTAATGAGCGCCGTTATGGCTGCTCTCGCGGTCTGCCTGTATCTGTCCTGTCTATTTGTGTGTGTGTAATCTTGGTCAGGCTGTACTGAGGTGTCAAGTTCCTATGCTCTGGAGCGCTGGCAATAAAATTCTTTCTGATTCTGATTCTGATTTTTCATGCAGTTTGCTACTTCCAAACCCACAATTCCCTTAATTTCCTTCTCCAAACAGGGTATACGCGGGTCCTTAAAAAGTCTTAAAAAGTCTTAAATTAGCTTTTCCAAATTTAAGGCCTTGAAAATCCTTAAAAATGACAAATAATCCTTAAATACAGTTTCCAAAGGTCTTAAATTACCAAAGACCCAATAAACTAGATTATTTTATTTCTATGACATTTTCGTGAATTTCTAGTTAGTCTTCAGCATTTTTTGTGTATGATGTTGGCGTAAGCAGAACTGTACACATTCAGTTGGTTGTGAAAGGGGACTATTTTTAGATGAGCACATTAGATGGTTAAGCTAGTGGGAGCTTGTGCCATGGAGAAGTGCAAGTTTAATGGTAAATGGATGGTTAATCCCACGTTTGCGACGTGGTTAGCACCGGTTCCAGGCAACAGCTGGAAATTATAGCTTAAATTTAATTTAAAAAATAGCTTAAATTTGGATCCGGATCAAAAGGAGTCAGTTGAGGTTGTTTGGGCGTCTGGTCAGGATGCCTCCTGGACGCCTCCCTGGGGAGGTGTTTCGGGCATGTCCTGCTGGCAGGAGGCCCCCGGGTCGACCCAGGACACGTTGGAGAGGTTACATCTCCAATCTGGTCCAGGAACACCTTGGGGTCCTGCTGGAGGAACTGGTGGAGGTGGCCGGGGAGAGCACGGTCTGGTGCTCGCTAGTTGGTATGCTGCCCCCGTGACCCGGACCCGGATAAGCGGAGGAAGACGACAACGAGCTTAAATTTGGTCAAAGTGGCCTTAAAAAAGGTCTTAAAAAGTCTTAAATTTGGTTTCCTTAAACCTGCAGATACCCTGTCCAAATAAAATGTTTGCTGCACATCTTTGTACTCCTTCAGTCACGGGTGTATGGACATTCATATCATCGGTCTTTTTCCATGAAAAGTTCTTGGATCTGCTCCGTGTCTGCCCCTAGATCTCTGTTGGCACTTTTTTTTTTTATGGGAGATGGTGGTGCTGTTTACAAATTTCAAGGAAGTGACATCTTGACCAATTACAGGCTTGCACTCTCCCTCACTTTCGACAGACAAACTTGGGCATGTCATGGTAACCTTGCGTTGATGCATCATGGCGTTGCGTGTCTTTGTACTCAGGCAGACAGAGAAGTATAAATCAGACTTTAGGCATGCCTTACCTGCTGTAGATATTAGTTTTTGGACATTAACAGCAAAGCGTTGATGCATACCTCTGCCTATAAATGAGTTCAGAGAGAATTCTGTATAGTTTGAGCCGAGTTGAATCTGTTTCCTTTCTTCTTTTTAATTGCCTGACAGATTGCAATAATGACAGTCACTCTATTCCCTATTCGTCTACTCATCGCTGCATTCATGATGCTGCTGGCGTGGCCGTTTGCCTTTGTCGCCTCAGTGGGGCGCTCCGAGACCACCGTCGAACCCCAGTGCCTCTGGAGAAGGTGGGTGCTATTCTTTATTTATTTGAATTTGTTCAAAAGTGTTGAACTTTGTAAAGCACCACTTAAGTTCTCATTGTGTCAAATAGTCGGCATATTGTCAGTTTAGCTGGAATGCTGCCGTCAAAGCAGCTTTTGATACTTAGAGGAAATTACATGACTCCGCCTGTTTCCAGGGTGGTGGACATCATTTTAAGATTCATCATGCGGGCAATGTGGTTTGCGGGGGGTTTTCATTGGATGACGGTGAAAGGGCAAAGAGCACTGCCTGCAGAAGCACCAATCCTCACCCTGGCTCCCCACTCATCTTACTTTGATGCCATCCCAGTTACAATGACAATGTCCTCAATTGTCATGAAAGCTGAGAGCAAGGACATACCTCTCTGGGGCAGTAAGTGAAACATTTTCTTCTCAGACTATTTTCATTTTTAAATCATAGGTATTGATTTACAGACTCCAGAAACATGTTCTCAATCTTTAGCTCTTGATATTCACCAGTTTATTTTGAGGAAGTTATCAGGCAGGAATTGTCTCCTGATAAGGTAGTCTGATCTTTATGCTGCCCAGTAGTGGCTGCTATCAGGGCAAATATTGACAAAAGATAAGGAAGGCTATTAGAAAGTCATAAATCCTGCAGAGTTCATAGCCAGCACAATGTGGTGCACAGGTCATGACTAAAGTATGCATTTTAATGATGATGCTGTACAAACAGGAAGCAGCGTGCACTCTACCTCATTTAGGTAATAAAATACTTGTTACTTGCAAGTTTGACGATAAATTTTAATTTAGTTTCACTTGACTAAAATTCTTAGTCAAGATTTCATCTTATTTTAGTCGCCTAAAATAAAAATATCAATATTCAACTAAAATATATAATTTTCAGGTTCTGTAAAGGAATGCTTGAAACTGTAATGCAATATTTGAAATGTTCACATTTCACAGGACAGGAAGATAGGAAAATAAAAACCAAGAAAACAAAACAAAGGTCTTAAAAAAATAAAATGTAGGTAGATTGATCCCACTTCCTGTTTGTACCAGGGACGTATCTAAGCATTTTGGGGGCCGAGGTAAAATAGACCCCTGGCAGGTATTTTAAGTTGAAGTGCTATCTGTTTTTATATTAGACTTTTTATATTTGCAATAAAGTCCAAAAGTGAAGAATTTATGTTATTTATTACTTGATTGTTCAAGCTACCTCACAGAAGTGATCTGTTGTTAAAAATTAAAATAAAAAGGTAATTAAATAAAAAATAAGGAACATTCTGGAACTGTTTCTTCCTTTTCTTTCTTTATTTTTTTATGTATCGGATCAGGACTCGGTATCGGCAGATTCTCAAAATCAAATGACTCACACTCGAGGGCAAAAAAAACCTGATCGGGAAATCCCAATTTAAAACCTGGGGACAACCCCGATCTGTACTCATCAAATACTTTTCAGACCGTCAAATGTATTGCTTTTCCTCCCAACCGTGGACATTTTGTCCTTTTAGACATAAATCATTCAACTGTTGCCTTGCCAAGAGCGCATTCAAACAGTGGCTATCTCCTGACTGTGATTGTTTCTTTTGTCGTCTAGTCCCACCTGTTTCACTTGCTGATTGGTCCTTTTGTCCTGTCCTTAAGACATATTTTGCATCTTCTGATTGGAGTTTAGTTATTGTCATTTTTAGTTCTCTTCTTTTATTCACTGACAAAAATGTTGATAAATTTAATCATATTTGGGTCTTTATCCCACTTTCTTTTTTTCCTTTTTGTTATGTTTTTGTACTCAAAAATGATGAAAATATTTTGTTAAAGAAATGCATTAAATGACCAAACTTAAAGTCATGACTTGTTTCAAGCACTTGATTAAAGAAATGTAAAGATGCATTCACAGGGCCAATGAGGACAGATTGTTTTTAGAACAACATAAGGCTGAAGTATCAATAATGAATTTAATCAGTATTCTAGATATTTCATAGCGCAGATATTCATGTTAGAAACGGTCTTGTATCTGTACAGTAAGGCCTCTGCACAATGTTGGCTACTTTTGCAGTAAAGTGGTGAACTTGTCAGATCAATGTGGTTTACTGCTGAGGCTGTTGGGGAGTTCAAATCAGCCTGGCTCATCTCTGTATTTAAACAAGTGTTGTTATTTCAGCCCTACCCTTACTGCTGAGGCTTTTCATTTCATGCAAAATTTCACAACGGAAACTTCAGCATAGTGAGTGGAGGGAGTCTGTCTGCAGTTCAAAGCCATATGTGCAGAAGTTGCAGACGGTACGCGTGCTGCATGTCCCAAGTCCCCTTACAGCATGCCAGTGTTGGCATTAGATTGCATGATCCTGCCAGCAGGACATGCAGTCAAGGTTTATGTGCTATTTTAATCTTCCTTTCTCCTCCTCCTTCTACCCTCCTTACAAAGTCAGCACTTTATCATATTGTTACCTCTACAGTGAGTGAAGCTAAGCCAAGTTGAGACAGAGACACTTGCATCGGTAGATTAAAACCAGATAGTATTTGAAGCCTTTCTCTTTAAAACGGATCATTTTAAAACACATTGATGGTTAGAAAAGACCCAATGTCTTTGCACAGGAACCGATCCACACCAAGCAATTGGAAGCCTAAGCATCGAGATATCAGGCTGCAGACACGCACAGAATGTCTGTTACAAACTTTAATTATGTCCTGTTAGCAGACAGATCACTGATGGATTCAGTCTCCTCTTTTCATGAGCGTACACCTTTCCTATTTAGTTTTCCAATTCCATTTTCCTAAAGCTGTCACACATTCTCATTGGTAGGGCCTCAGTACTTAGAATAATTTGCTTGTAGATTGATGATGAGATGCACAAAAGTAATTATTGCTTCTGCAAAACTCTTGCATTTAGTTTCTGTCTAGTTTCCTTACAATGCACACATTTGTAAAGTTATTTACTGATTTAAAGTGATGCAGCTTAGCAGTTAAAGCTGTTATGGTGAATCTACAGACAAGCTAGGTTTTGAATTGCAGCTTTTAAAATCCTTGGTAGCAATTGACTATTTAAATTCAGATGATACATTTTACTGTAGGTCTTATTTTTAGTGTGCAGCGTTTAATGTTTCTAGTTGTTTTGTCTGAAGTAGTCAAATGGCTATACAACAGGAAGTGAAACTGATAGTTGCATTAAGACTGTATTTAGTAACCTTTCTATTGTGTTGCATTGTTCAGTAAGTTTTTGCATAGATTACCAGTTGTTGCTGAAAAGTCCAAGGTGAGCAACAATGCAACAAAATAAGGTGACTTTGGTTCAAAACCTTTAACATTAATAAATATGTCCCCACCTTCCATGTCAAACGATGCTAGCCCTTGAATTTCAGAAAGTGTTACGGTAATTAAGCCACCTTATAAATGCTATCAGATCTATGCCACATGCATTGCTGAACTCAGTGGAATAAATCGAGACAGCAATCAACCAATTAAGGTGAAATGTTGTTTCTAAAGAAACAAAAGTAATTACAATGTCATCAGTCACATCCACAGAAAATGTTCACCACCAGAATGCAGCAATCAGTATTCAAAAGTGAGCCAAAAAGTGGTCTGTCCTCTTTGCAACACTACACTGGATGTGAAACCACACATGCTACGTATTAGCATCATATCTGTTATAACTGTGCACAGGTCACAACCGTAACAATAATCATCAAAATTCTGTTTTACTATAACAATAATTCATTCGGCAGTTTCAAGAAGTCCAAGCCCATTTAAGAAATAACTGGAAGGAATAACCAAAAAGCACATAAACAAGAAGCTGAAAATCTACATAAAGCATGACCCGAAAGACACAATCACCATACTCTGTAAAACACCACGTTCATCACTACCCCAAAACATCCTGGACAAGTCCCCAATTTGTTACAAACCAGCTCGTTCAACCACAACAGTAAAGATAAAACTCAATATTAAGTGTTTAGGAATTTGTATTTTTAAAATGAAAACATCCATCCATCCATCCATTTTCAGCCGCTTATCCATCCATCCATCCATCCATCCATCCATCCATCCATCCATCCATCCATTTTCAGCTTCTCCCACGCACCACACGAACTCCCACGCACCCTCCAAGATCCCTCTAAAGTTATAGAGATGGTTAAGTGTTCCACGGCCAGGACAAAAACCACAGTGTTTCTCCTGAATTCGAGTTTCGACATTCCGACGGACCCTCCTCTCCAGAACCCCTGAATAGACCTTACCAGGGAGGCTCAGGAGTGTGGTCCCTCTGTAGTTGGAGCACACCCTGCTGCCCCCCTTTTTAAGTAGGGGGGCCACCACCCCCATGATACTTCAAAGCCATGTCAATCAACACTGCCCGAGAACATCCAGAGCCTTAAGAAACTACGTGTGGATCTCATCCACCCCTGGGGCCTTGCCACTGAGTAGTTTTTTGACCACCTCAGTGACCTCAGCCCCAGAGATTGGAGAGTCCAATTCAAAGTCCCCAGACTCTAATTCCTTAATGAGAGGCGTGTCAGTGGGATCGAGGAGGTCTTCAAATAGTTCCATTAACCGATCCACAATGTCCCGAGTAGAGGTCAGCAGCACACCGTCACCACTGTTAACAGTGGTGGTAGCACACTTTCCCCTCCTGAGATGCCGGGTGGTTGACCAGAATCTCCTCAAAGCTAAACCGGAGTCTTGCTCCATAGTCTCACTGAATTCCTATCATGCCTGGGTTTTGCCTCTGTGACCACCTGGGCTGCATTCCTCTTGAACTGCCGGTATCCATCAGCTGTCTCTGGAGTCCCACGGGGCAAAAAGACCCGATAGGATTCTTTCTTCAGCTTGACAGCATCCCTAACCACCTGGCTGTCCACCAGTAGGTTCGGGGGCTACCACCATGACAGCCCTGCAGCCACAGCTCCGGTCAGCCGCCTCAACAATAGAAGCACGGAACATGGCCCACTCGGACTCAATGTCCCCTGCTTCACTTGGGACGTGTTCGAAGTTCTGTCAGAGGTGGGAATTGAAGCTCCTTCTGACAGGAGACTCCGCTAGACGTTCACAGCAGACTCCCACAATACGTTTGGGCCTGCCAGGTCTGACCAGCATCTTCCGCAACCATCACAGCACACTCACCAAGTAGTGGTCAGTTGACAGCTCCCCCCTTCACCCGAGTATTCAAGACATGCTGCCGCAGATCAGTCTAAAGAAAAATGTAATTAAAACAAGCCATTATTAATATTTTATATTATTATTATTATTATTATGGTGCTATTATAGTGTTTTCTAAGTCTGTAATTATGAATGGAAACCAGACTATGGTTATATTTATGAGTGTGCAAGCTTCATCTGACTCATGCAACCACTTTAAGAAGTCATATTGTCTAAATGCGCAAAAATAGTCATTTACTGATGTGTGGCTCATTTTTTTATGACTTTGCCATCTTGTGTGAGGCAGCGTTTGTCCTGATTGGAGAAACCCAATGGATAATTGGAAATGCCCAGAAACACCAGTGTTATTTTTTCTATAGCATTCTCAGTGAATGTCCACCATGTGAAGTTTGACCCATAATTGGGAAGATTTTTTGTTTGAGTTTTTATTTTCTGTCACAAGTAATTTGTGCTCCTGACTGATGTGTAAATTTGTTTGTCTTTGCTGCATTAACCTTTTGTCTGAAGCAGCCATTTATGTAGTTTTTTGTTCTTCTTTGCATTTTGTCTCCAGCTTTGATAAAGTACATCAGGCCTGTATTTGTATCACGATCAGACCAGAACTCGAGAAAGAAGACTGTGGAAGAGATCAAACGGAGAGCCCATTCTGGAGGAGAATGGCCTCAGGTAGGTAGATTTATAAAAATGTAACTGTGTTGCAGCTTCTTTGTAGGTTTGATTACAGCAGTTTCTTTGTTAAGGAACAGACATCAATTTTAGTTTTTAAACCTTACAATAAAGCCAAACTTCTTTGGCAAGACTCTATGGTGGATTTTGATGTCTTTGAACAGATTTTCATAATTTTAACTGATTAACTGGAGTCTAAAGCTGGGTGTGCGCTGTGTGATTTTCGACCATTTTGAGTCAACTTCCCACTTGCGAACAATGTTGGCCAAGTTTTGTGTCATGCATCTTGTCACATACAGTGGTAAGAAGTGGTTAACACCTCACAACTGACTAGCAATCATGCAGTCATATGGAAATTAAGCATGTTTGATATTCTGTTTGTCCCCCATGTGGGTGTTGCACCGTTGAAGCAGCGCCATGACCCAAATGGACCAGAACCGCTCACATAGCACATACACCAACATGTATGTTCAGCTACCTCCTTGTCCATACACGTACGTTTTTGTTTTTACACTTTTTTCTGCAAGGATTGTCAAGAAAGCATCTTTGCTTTGTTTATATCCCATAAAATGGATCCCCAAACCTTGGTTTACTTTCTACGTGCCATCCATTCTTTATCTACCACCACCAACCCCCACAAACTCTCTGTGCATCCTTCTATAGAGCTCCGGGAGTTGACGTCACTTCTCCCGGCATGCAACAGTTCAAATCGAAACAGCGCCATATTGGCAGGCAGAAGCCCGCAGCTGGACTATTTGTTATTGTTAGAAAACTCAATCAAATGGGAAATATGGTAGATTCCTGTTGTGCCCCAGAATGCAGAACAGACGAGGACGACATAAGGCTTCTACAGGATCCCCCAAGATCCGGAGCGCCGCAACCATTGGATCATTGTAATAAAACGCACTAGTGACCGGGCTAAAATGAAACTGTGGGACCCCGAGAGTAAAGGTTTTCACTTATGCAGCGACCACTTCATACTTACACCAACGTTTCCTCAACTATATAAGGTATTTATTTTAAATGCGTTTATTATGATTCTTAGTGGGCTTCCTAAACTTATTTTGGCGTGGCTTTTTCTGTCTTGTTACTCATAACAACAAGTAAACGTCACGTAAAACGTTTACTCGTGATTTCTGCGTGCTGCCGTTTACGTGTTTTATGATCACAGCAATTAACCGGCTAAGCTGTATCTAATTTTTAAGCAATGGTTGATCAATTGTCAGGTCACACATAAAAATCACTTTGGATTGCTATTATCTGTCTCACCGAGACAGGTCTCAGACAGATCCTGAGACGCTCCTGCCTGACATATTTGTTTATTCACGGAAAAAAAATCAGACTAGTGATTTCTCTTGGCATTCAGTTTATACATTCAAACAGCACAGAACTCTATTTAAACTTCTTACATGTTATTTGTCCATCCATCCATCCATTTTCATCCGCTTATCCGAAGTCGGGTTGCGGGGGCAGTAGCCTAAGACGAGAGGCCCAGACTTCCCTCTCCCCAGCCACTTGGGCCAGCTCCTCCGGGGAAATCCCAAGGCGTTGCCTGGCCAGGTCCGCTCCGACAGCTTCTGGCATTTTTAAAAAGTATCCAAGGGGCATGGTAAGGGTCGGAGATGTTTAATTTCTTACTATATAAAACAATTTCTTTGGTTTTTAAGTGTGAAGTAAACTCCGACGGAGTAAAATCCAAGCCGATCCCGTTCATTTTGTTTACCTTTGTTGCCTGCCAACATGGCGTCTACTCTCTGAGAGTCACGTGAAGTCCGGCGCTCTATATCTACGAGGGTTAAAAAAAGAGACATCGTTAACAGCACAACAGTCTCATCTTCTCCAGGTTTTCAGACTCAAAGGTCCATTGCGATGCATTAAGCTACTATTTTTTAGCATATTTTTAGGTCCAACATGTTGCTGTGCTACAAATGGTGTTAGTAGTCGGGTCGCATCCGAGCATTGGGCCGTGCAGTATGATAACATGACTCGTGAGCTGTGCTCTGCGATAGTCGTTCAGTTTTAGATGGAGCTGAATACGATGACTGAAGAAGTCACACAGTGTATGCCCGGCTTTACAGAGAATAAATATAGAAATTAGACTAATTTCCCTCTCCCTTTACATTCAGATTATGATTTTTCCAGAAGGAACTTGCACCAACAGATCCTGCCTCATCACCTTTAAGCCAGGTATATTTATTTCTCTTCTCACCATACGTTTCTTTTTTGCAAACTATTTTGAATGCTAGTTCTATTAACTTAAATTGAAATTACTTCATTCTTTTTGTGACGGAAAAATCCTCTTTTAAATTTTGATTGGTCAAACAAGGATTTTGCAAATTCTTTTTCCCTGGATTTGTGACATACAACATCCAAGTGTTAGCCTAGTGAACTAGACCAAATTCTTGCTTTGCAAAGAATGGTCTAGGCATGCTCCATTGGAACCTCCACAGCTCCTACCAGGACTCTGGCTAGCCAATCACATTTCTCTAGAGGGGTTTCAAACGCATAAAGAGCTGTGATTGGTCCATAATGGTCAGCCAGTCATAGTGCTCTATCTGCTTAGTGAACAAATCACAGAGCTTTATCCGCTTTGTGGGCCAATCAGGGCACTCTATATGCCTGGTTGGTGTGATGATGCAACAGAGTGAAACAAGAGTATGTCACATTCATTGTCCAGTAGCATGCGGAGATCATTTGAAAGACAACGTTAGAACCCGCCCCACAACCGAGAGCCGTCAATGGAGCATGGCCAGACTAAATACATTTATTTAGTCTGGCTTGCCAGGCTATCCAAGTGTTATTTGGGATGTATCATTATTAATTATTCATTATTTAATTCCTGAATAGTTTTTATTTTAGTTTTTTTTTCTTCAGTAGTTTATACACTGATTTGTGTTGATGTTTTTGGCTAAAATCAAATTAATCACCTGTTTGATTTGACCCTTATAGGGGCCTTTATCCCTGCTGTCCCAGTGCAGCCTGTGGTGATTCGGTATCCTAATAAACTGGTAAGACTGGTAACAATTAGATGACAATTTGTTTCAACAAAATCACATTCTTTTTTTATCTTTGAGCAGCAAAATGATACTTATTTGATATTTAACCCTTTTTATTTTTTAGCATAAAACCGTGTGTACATTCTGTCGATCACTGACCAGATACAAAATAATTTGTGCGATTTCTACAATGTTTTTGTTTCTAATGAAGTTAAATTCATGTGATTGCAGTGTGAGAGCATTTGCATGTATTCATATATGGTAATATATTGTTTCTGTGTTGTTAACAGGACTCAATCACATGGACCTGGCAAGGACCAGGAGCGTAAGTTTTATTCCTTTATTATTTATCAGTAATGTGTGGAACGTTACAAAATAGTTAAAACAATCATATTTTGTTATGTGAAAGTTGACATCTGTTGGTAAATGCATGTATTCTCCATTATAAGCCCATTCTATTGATCGTTTTACCAACTGTTAGGAATTACGGGACTTTTTAGACTCTAGACTTTTAACTTAAAATATGAATTTGTGCTTTTAGCATAAATTGCATCATTCAGGCATTTATGGAAACTATGATATTGTCATTATTATTTTGCTGTTGTTTGTTATTATTGTCATTGTTTTTACTATTATTACTATCACTAGTACCATAAAATGTTTATGCAAAATGCTCTCATTAGTAGCTGCATATATATTAACATATATATATATATATATATATATATATATATATATATATATATATATATATATATATATATATATATATATATATTAATATGTATGTATGGATGGATGGTAACTTGTAGAGTAAATTAGTAATGTGAGACAAGGGGGTGGGATTCTTACTCCCTTTGGACAAAGACTTCTTTTTTATTGGTATATCTTTTCTTTTCTACTATGTTCGTTGATTTTTAAAAAATATTTTGTCTTATAATCAAATAAACGTTTCAATCAATCAATCAAATATGAGTCACATTTACACAGACGTTTCTAAAGACTCAATTCAGAAATAAATAAATAAATAAAACCTTAATATAATAAATGTACCATAATAAAATGTTAGACTGGTGCTAATTGATACACCAGACTGATGTGTTATCATACTGTCTGTATTTACTAATTTATTTATAATTTTTTTAATAATCCAGATTTGAAATCTTATGGCTGACACTCTGCCAGTTACACAACGAGTTTGTGGTAGAGGTAAGTATCACAGTCCTGACTTTTCTGAGTGTGGATTACTTCTTTGTTTACTGCTGATGGGAAACAAATGATGTAGTATTGAAAAAAGATGTGCCATGTCAAACACACCTGTTATGTATTCTAAAACATCAAAGGCTTGTATATTTTTACTGATCTTATGTATTTATTGGATTTTGCCAACATTTTGTGTGAGATGTATACACATATGTTTTTGCTTCTCACAGTTTCTTCCTATTTACACCCCTTCTGAGGAGGAGAAGAAGAATCCTGCTCTTTTTGCTATCAATGTGAGACAAGTTATGGCAAAGTGAGTCAAATATGGACAAGACGGAACGCAGTTTACAACAAATTAATAGGAAAAAGTAATTTCCTGTGCAAAATTTGGGGTTTAAAAGAAAAGGAAGATTCTGACCTGACTTATCTTTCAATTTTTGTTGAATCTAATCTGATCGGTTTCCTTTAAAATGGGACTTTTTTGATTTGAGCAAATAATTGCTGATCTGCATGTGCTGTAATACGTCAAATTCAGATAACAGCAATTGTTTTGAAACAGGCCAGTGATTGATTTTTCTTCTATGTTCTCAAGGCGACATTTAAAGTGCCGAATTCGGGGGGTCAGTTTCCAACGAGCGAAGCTGAGAATTTCTTCAAGCTGTTTTACATTTTGCGTATAAGTTCCAAAACCACTACCAGTTTGCTGCTTCTGAGAAGCAGTAATCCACGTTTTTATCATAATTAGCTCTCGGTTTGCTTCATTGACCTTAAGCTACGTTCATATTGATTTCCACACGCTGATACCCCATCATTGTCTCCCCTCAGAGCCTTGGGAGTGCCCATCACAGACTACTCATTTGAAGACTGCCAGCTGGCGATGGCGGATGGCCAGCTGAGGCTGCCAGTCGACACCTGTCTGCTGGAGTTTGCCAGGCTTGTCAGGAGGCTGGGGTGAGTCACTCAGATTTTGCAATTCAGCTCACCCATCCAAGAGAACTAAGAAAGGAGTAGAGCAGGGGTGTCAAACATGCGGCCCGCGGGCCGGATCCGGCCCGCAAGCAGGTTAAATCCGGCCCGCAAGATGGTTGTGTAAACTTTATTTTCATACTTAACAATGTAGAGTGAAAATAAACGTATCTTTGTGAGCAAGTTTTCTCTGTAATGAGTATAAATAAAACAAAGCTGCACTCAAGGCTCACACAAGAACTTGAATCACATCCTGAAGTTGGCCGCCACTCAGGATGAGACTTCTGATATTGATGTGCTGGTGAAAGCTAAAAGATGTAAAGTAAAATGAGTCAAATATACTTTAAGTGCTGCATGAAACTGATCTAGCCATGTGATCTGTAAGCTCTTTGAATCACTAAGGAATGTTTTTTTTATTTATTGATTTTTTTATTTTTTTCAAATTTTCAAGTACACTTCAGGTGTTGTACTTGTACTGTTTTGGATACACTGTCCTCAGGCTCCAGCTTTGTTTTATATTGATTGTATTAAAACAAAGAAAACAATCTGAAGTTGTTTTTAATTTACCGGTCCGGCCCACTTGGGACTAGATTTCCCTCAATGTGGCCCCTGAGCTAAAATGAGTTTGACACCCCTGGAGTAGAGTGTAATGGGCCATTCCCATCTGCACCGGGTCGGCCTGGGCCGGGTAGCCCCAGTTGGCCCCAGCCTGGCCTGGTTGGTTCCACACATCCTTGTCTTAAGCCCATGTGGGCTGATTCTACCCACCAATCAGAGGCTTGCTCTAATGGAAGGTGTGAATTTGCTGTCAGCAGTGGGTGTGTTGGCCCTGGTCAGCCTGAAGCAGACCCCCTCGAGAAGAGGGCTGAGAATGAGCCAGGGTTGGCCCGGAAAAATACCAGGCCACCCAGGTATGTAAACAACCTACGCTACCCGGCCCGGGCCGACCCGGTACAGATGGGAATGGCCCATAAAAGACTTCACGAACTCTGCAGAAACCTGGCAGGTGTCTGGCAGCAGCATCCTGACACACGGGGATGCATTTCAAGAATGTAATCTCTGCAGGAAGAGTCGCTGCACTTTTGACACATAATTGGTAATCTGATTTTTTTAAATGCAATACAAACTATGTGGTTTTAAGTGGGCTATTGTAACTAACCATTAGCTGTTCTGTTTTCTCTCATTGCAATACAAAGTCACAACTTTAAATGAGTTCATGTTAAAATGGTGGAAAATTGAGTGTTTAAACCAAATACTAAAAATGCCACAAATGTAATACAGTGATCTGAACCTTGTACAGTGTCTAGGTGAGAAGTCATGCTATGGGTTTGCTCTTCATTGTTTTTTATTCTTTGTCAGTTTTGTTCTCAAAATCCATACCGAGTTTTTTTGTTCCCCTTCTATTGCTGTCAGAGTGAAACCGCAGACCTCTGAGAAGGTTTTGCAGGACTATGGGAACCGAGCCAGGAAGCTAGAGAGACAGAAACTTGGCTTGGAAGACTTCGCTCACTTCCTCGATGTGCCGGTTTCAGACGTGCTGCGTGACATGTTTGCTCTGTTTGATGAGGTAAAAACGCTTTTCTGTAGCTGCTTTTCATTTCCTTTTTTGGTAAATGCTGTTCACATAAGTATAGAACCAGGTTGTTGCAAGACTTTTCTCCATTCACCAAGATCTTATTTCCTGTAAGGGTTTGAATTTAGAAGAAAAAGAAGAAACGGTCTTTAAATAGTGCCTCTCAAGATAAAAATCACAAGTACAAAAAAAATAAGAGATTTAAAAATGATTTTAAACAGTTTTATAAAAATAGGAAAAGTAAAAATTGTGATTAAAGAAAATGTGAGGAAAGGGGAAAATAAATAGGAAAAGGGTAGTCGGTGGATCCCAGGAAAGGCAGAATTGGTAGAAAGCCCTAAATGAAGAGAAGGTAGTGGTGAAGACTCAACCGAAGGTCACACAAAAGCCAGCCTGAACAGGTGAGTTTTCAGCTGCATTTTAAAAGAGACCACTGAGTCCACTGATCTCAAGCTCAGGAAGAGAGTTCCAGAGTCTGGAGGCCAGCTGTCGGCGTAGTCCTTCAGGGGAGTTTTGAAGTTCTTCAGACCAAGAGAGCCAGATAAGATAACAGCGATAAACTTTCCTGCTGTAACAAGTGAACCCCCCACTGTGGGATCAGTAAAGTTTATTCTATTCCTTTTAAGAGGCAGGAAAAATGTTTACGCTAACTTGTTAACTAAATTTGCCCTCGTAGCTTTAGGAAGAATATCTGACCTTTGACCTTAAACGGGGCGTTGATGCTGGAAAACCCCTTCAATGTGGCTGAGTTTGTTTTCTGCAAAGAGCGGGGCTTAAAAAAAACTCACTCCAATGCACAAACAGAAGAGATCTGGTCGGGCGGTACTGTTTTCATAGTACAATCTAACGTGGATGTTCTTGTCAAATCTCAGTGTTGATAATCTGTCTGTTTGTATTTCAGCATGAAGATAACAACATGGATGTTAGAGAGTTCGTGATAGCCTTATCTGTAGTTGTCAGACCTGCCAAAACTCTGGAAACGATGGAACTGGCCTTCAAGGTATGTTTTAGTCTGCTTCTGTCCTGAGAGTCGCTCTATGTGAATGCCACACATGTCGTGATGAAGTAATTCCGCCAGGATTAAATAAAACACATAATCTGCACCTTATTCCGGTCATCCTGCTGCTCAGATGTGACCTTCGTAATTTTAAATGAAATGTGGTTAGTGACTGAGGTAGTTTGAGTTTGGATTGTCATCAAGCTGCTAAATGTGTTCATCAGTAAGTTCTGCTGACATTCCCTCGTGGTCTTCTTTTCCAGATGTTTGAGGCAGAGGAGGACGGTGCCATCACAGAACGAGAGCTGGCGGTTATACTGAAGACTGCTCTAGGGGTGGCTCTCCTCAACGTTTCATATCTGTTCTCCGCCATCGATGCCGACGACACTGGGAAGATTACTTTTGGTACGACTGAACGGATCAAAAAAATTCAAACCTGAAAAGCAGCTTGTCTTTAATGTTGTGTTTGTCTCCCCCTTGTGGTCTTTCCAGATAAGTTCAGAGCTTTTGTGGAGGAGAACCCAGACTTCGCAGAGGAGTATCTTTTCACAGAAAATGCAGGCCTTCAGAGCGGACCCTGCCACGGTCAGCAGAAGCAGCCCAGCTCACCCAGCCTGAACCTGCAAAGCACTGCCACCAGCAAAACCGCCAATGGTATCTGCCCCGACTTCAGCCCGAGAGACCACGATGGCACAACAGATGCACTCTCCAAGAAACACAACTAAGGTTTACAAATGCTGAAGGGAGAAAAACATCCAGCTCCTCTCCTGGTGAGAGGAGTCAGAGTTGATGAGCAGTGGTTGGTCAGCCGTTAGTTTCATTAACCACAACTACAAAAGTGAAGTTTGCCCCCTTCTTATTTGTGTCGTGTCCACAAAACGAATGATTGTTTTCAGGCTTTATCAGTTTGTTACGAGTTTAGATTTTTTAATAGGAAGAATTGTCCTAATGCCAAATAATGGCTCTTGTTTTTGGATACAATGCTTGAATACTTGAAGGGCAAGCACTTAATAGGATTTCTGGGGCATAAATGCTTTTTTTTTTTTACATTGTGCATGTTTTTAAACTCAAAGGAACTGAGACAAAAAGTTAGCCCTAGAATTTTGACATGAACACATAATTTCAGTGTTTATGGTTTATTTTATTGTTATTTGTTATCCATTAGCCTACTTTAATGGTTGCTGCCATTTGGATTGGAAGTGCAGAGTGACCATGCTCATCCTACGTTTATTTATGTTAGGAAGGAAGGCCAGAGGGAACCGGTGACGACCGCTGGACGGCTTGAAGCGCATAGCTTTGGTAGCCACGTTTGAGGTTCCCTCTGACTATTGTATGTTGATGATCATAGCTCCTCCTGTGAGTGTGTTTGTGTGTGTGCCTGCGCGCGTGCATGTGTGATATTGGATTTAGCTCAGGGTTAAGTAACAAAGTAACTGCTATGATGTCATCCTTTTTAACGCTCTATGGATTCACGTGCGTATAATCTTTTTTATTTTTTTTTTGCACAGCATCAGTCCTCTCCCCTGTCTTCATTTCTCTCATTAACAGTTATTTTTTTCTTATTCATTTTGATTCTTATCACAAAACTTGGACCAAAAATGCATACGGTGATTTCTCGTCATGTTTGTGTCAATGGTGTATCACTTGAAAGGGAATATTTCAGATTTGTCTGGTTGGTTGGGTACTTTCCTCTCAGCGTTACGTACATAAAAGCATTGAGTTCCAAAAATTCCACCTACTGTGAAAAGTTTTTCTTGCCATTCTTCTGATCTGTACAAAAATAAAACTGGCTGTTTTTCATTACTTAAAGTATCTCACTGGGCGCAAAATTTGTATGGTTTCTAAAATGCCTCGAAACATTTGCGAGAGGTCCCACAGGGCCTCGCTCTTGGATTGCTGAAATTTTGACAACGCTCAAAAATGTCAGACAAAATTATTAAATTGAGTCGTCCTGAGAAATTTTAAGAGGGGTTGGTAACTTTTGAAGAGAATCTGGGTGTAAATTACACACAAGCGGAGATAATTTATGACTAAATGTTGAGAGATGTTGCAGTTCACGCAGATGTTACCAATTCGGCATGATCAGAATAAAATAAATTCTACCACTTTTCACATTTTTCATATCAATACTATAAGATTTCAAAAGCAAACATCCACCTCTGTCTGGGTTCTTTATCTCACAACATGCATTCATTTAATCATAAGCTTCAAACTGTGGATTGTTTAGAATTGAGGCTAACATCTAGCCTGCAGTGATCAGGTAAAGGTGGGATGCCTTTACAGTCTAAAATACATTGAAATGCGTTACCTTAAGTCAGACAGCCAAATAAAACGCCGGTCTGTCGGGTCTTTTGTCTAAGTTATAAGATTAAAGTCCCACCTTTAACCCTAATGATCAACTGGCTGAAACACAATGGCACACGTTGTGTTGCTGCTGTCAGACATTACAGTGCTTTGCGTCATGCTCTTTACTGTCTAATCAAAGGGAATGCCTCTCATGGGTGGATGAAACGAGACACTTAGCCATCTGACTCCTTCAACAACATTGAATGTTTTCCTCTCATTTGTCCTCGTTTTGACTTTCAGTGAAGCAATATTTCATCTTTCAAGCCTTCTCAAGATGAATGCTTTTAAAAAGAAACCTAAAGTTCTGATATGTATTTTGAATATTCCAGATGCAGGACATTTTGTGAATTTTTGATATACGTATATGACTGATTTTTATTTTCACTGCCATAACAAAGATCTGTGATCTTCTCTGCTCTGCAGATTGTACCGATAGTGACAATGAAGCCACATTTATTTCCTCTCTTTTTGTAAAACACTCCGGTTGTTTAGTGCTGTGCTCCTCTACGCAGTGTAAGGTTTGCTGTGTTATTAATATTATTGCTAAGTTTGACTGCTTAGAAACAAAAATGCAGATTTCATATGGAAACCAATAGCCTTGAAAGCCTCTATGGAATTTTTACGCTTACAAAACAAAATCCACAAAAAACAGAATGTACAGACAATCTGTCACCATCAGACGCTCGAATGCTCTGGTCTCACGGTTTTCCTAAGAAACGACCATTTTCAGATGTCTGCTGTTAAAGGCGTGCAGGTGGAACACAAGTGCGAGTGTGTGGAGTGAATCGGGCCCTGAGGTGAAGTACCGCCACATGACGGGCTCCCCTACACACACACACACACACACACACACACACACACACACACACACACACACACACACACACACATGATTTATGACAATCAAAGTATTGTCCTCTTGTTGCTTTATTCCCACTCAACTTGTATCTGTGCTTGCACTTTAGAATGTTTTATTTTTTTTAAAAAGCTGTGACACTGCTCTCTGTAGCATGTTGAGTTTGTAGGTGAAAGTATTGTAACGCTCACTTTTTAACAGGTTTGGTGTTGATACTTGCTTCTACAATGGGAGCCCCGGGGTAATTGAGGATCACATAATGCGAGTCGCCCCTCGTAGACGTTAGCTGAACCTCGTCCTATGCTGTCTCAGGTCTGTGTAAATTGAGTAGCTTAAAAGTGAATTTACAGACTTGGCAGAAATGTAGAGTGGAATGATTTGATCACGTTTGCACCATGACTTAGAAAAGTATTATTAATCCTCCTTTGTGATTGTCATGTTACAGCACATTGCTAATGATACAGTTCACTATGTATGAAGGAAATTAGTTTTGTGTGTACTGATGGGAAATGTAGTAAATACAATTAGAAACTATTGATACGTACCCGACCCAGGATAAACCACCGAGCCTCAGTACTCCCTTTAAACACAGAATCTCACTGCATCAGAACATTTAAACTTTCCCAGTATTTAAATAACGACGTGTGTATGTTGGGCTGCATGAATCAGATTTTTTTTGTCACTTGCCCCTCTAGAGTTTAATTTCTTTTTTTTTTTAAACATGATAACAACATGAGAAATTATAAACCTGCAAGAAAGACTTGTATTTATGCTGTTGCGGCCTGCTTGTCCCCCTCTGTTTGTCCTACGGTGAGCCCAAGACGAAAGACTTGTGTACTCTCGACAGAGCGATGTCGTCTTTCTGATGGCTCATTGTATCTGAAACAACACCCTGAACTGTTTCTGCCTTTAGTTTTATTTCCTGTCAGTTTTCTATACTGAACAAGTTTTTATGTTATTGCATTTTGATGACGCGTCCTTCCAGCGAGCCGTTTAGAAGTGGTTCAAAATGGCTGCTGTGTAACTTTTCTTGTGACTTTTGGATGGAAATAAAGAAGCGTCAACACCTGTCTGTGTCACTGCTCAATTTGTTGCTTTTGCTGAATAAACGTGAGAAAATTGTCAGTCAGCATCACTTTGATGTAATTTTAGCTAAATTAAATCTGTCTCCCTCTGGTGGTGACATAGAGGAGCTGCAGTGCTCCATTGTGGTACGTGTAATTCACAGCACATGATTTTGTCTTCAGATTTATTAAGATGTTTTTATTTTGCGTTAAGAACGAGAGCTAAACCTGTTGAACCAGTGGGTTGACTTTGCGGCATGTTTCCTTATTTGACGTGAAAAAAAATATTTGGAACTTCCTCATTGGAATTGATGCTGTAATAAAGTATCTAAGAATGCTGAAAAGGTGTAAGAGTAGACAACACAAATACATGATGGTACCATTAAACCATATTCCATTTAATGCAGCGACTGGTATGTTCAGAGGTTCTGACTGCTGCTCAAACGGGCTTTATGAAGTCGCCTGCCACGGTTTCAATGTGTTCATGTTTACAAGTGTGTCTAGTGAGTTTTCCTAGACTGATCAGAGTCAACACACTTGGGACACATTTGACCATGGTGCATGGTCTGTAATAGTCTTGTAGCCCTACGCTAAAAGAAAAACAGACAACAGAATGAAAACTCGTCATGTTGCTCTTCCTGCACATCCTTTCTTTTACTTTTGTCCATCTCTGAATCCTCTCCTATCTGCTTTTACTCCTCACACACATCTTCTCTTCCTGCTCTTTCCCCTCCCGTCCTTCCTCCCTCCCTCTCTGGGCCTCAGCTGTTGCGCTTATGAAAAAAAGACACTCGATTATGTGCAACTCGTTTGTCGAAGCTCCATCCGAAACCTCTTATTTCCAGCATGGCTCGCGCATTGACCCAACACTTTCTGATATGAGGTCTCGGGAGCCTGATTGATGTTTGCACTTTAAAGGTGCGTACACTGTGGAAGCAGCACATTTGGGGATTATTGGCCAATTGATCACTATGATTGGCTTGCTTACAAGAAGCTGTCATTGCGGACATGAGTGTCATCATAAATCTGCCTGTGGGGAGCGAGTTGATTGTGTTATTTTATGCTTTGATCCTGTTGGACTAGAATTTGAAATGGGAGAGGGCTTGGTGATGGGAATGATTGTGTTTAGGCTGTTGGACATTACAGGTAATGAGATTTCTGGTGGAGCAGGGTGACTGGGTTGGTTCGTTAGCTCTATGATGGGCGTGGAACTAGCACAGAAGCTTGTAAACAACAAAACAGTTGAGAACTTTAAACATGGTTTACAAATTGTTTTTTTTTTTTCAATTGTAATTGCATGTTTGGGTAATTCTTTGGAAAGAGCAATCACATATTCCTGGTTGGGCTAGTGGGATGAACCCTTTTCCTGGAGGGGCTCTAATAAGGCAGGGTCAGTAAGTTTGTTCAATAGCAGCAACGTTGGCACTAATTACGTTCAGTATGCCAGAGCCAAATATACGACCTTCACATGCTAAATAATTCTGCTTCCACTGTTACCATGTTGGCAAACAACTGCATTTTTAAAACAGGAATGTCTTAATCCCCATTATTAAAGCTGAAAGGCAGAGCCTTGTTAAAAAGGATATGGCCTGGAAAATGATGGGCTTCTGTCTTTTTTGATCAGACCTCAAAAATATGATTGTGAATGATATTACCAATCATCATATCTTACACTTTTGAACTCCACCAGCCCAAAGTGAAACCAACGAAGTTCCCCCCTCATCCACTAGGGGCTGGTTTCAGAAAGAAGCTAGTTCCCATGTTAAAAATGCTGACTTCACAGCAGAAACAGACATGTTTACAGCCTGGTACAAAACATTTTAGGTTTATTAGGTCAAGTTAATCATGACGAGCTGCACAGTGGCGCAGTGGTTAGAGCTGTTGCCTTGCAGCAAGAAGGTCCTGGGTTTGCTTCCCGGCCTGGGGGTCTTTCTGCATGGAGTTTGCATGTTCTCCCTGTGCATGCGTGGGTTCTCTCCGGGTACTACGGCTTCCTCTCACAGTCCAAAAACATGACTGTTAGGTTGATTGGTCTGTCTAAATTGTCCTTAGGTGTGAATGTGTGTGTGTGTGTGCATGATTGTTTGCCCTGTGTGTCTCTGTGTTGCCCTGCAATGGACTGGCTCTCTGTCCAGGAAGTACCCCGCCTGATTGCCCATTGACCGCTGGAGATAGGCACCAGCCCCCCGCGACCCTACGTGGACAAGCGGGTTCAGAAAATGGATGGATGGAAGTTCATCATGTCAACACTGAGGAGAGTCAATTTTTTGTGACTGATCAATTTAAATGTAATTAAAGCTTGAAACTAATAATGGTTTGATTGTTATTCATCTAGCAGATGAGCCATCAGCACTAGTGCTAGCAGGTTGCCTTCCTGCTTGCTCCAGGGAAGGCCTCATGTTAAAAGTGTTGCAGCCTAGAAGGCAGAGGGTAGTAGAGTCTTTCAATTGCGGTTTTCTGGCTAAAAGTGCCTGCCATGCTCCATTAGCTTCTCTCATTAGCTTCTCTTAGTTCCATTTGCTCATAGCTACATTGGCTCAGAGTTTGATGGGGATCAATATTCTGCCCCCCTTCATAGCCAAGCTCTCAGCTCCAGTTTTGTCTTTTCCGGGAGTGACGAGATGCGTAATGCCTCCAAGATTGCGGAGGTGTGAACCGCCCTCTGGGCTTCAATTCTGTTCTTCAGAAACCTACGGATAACGACACAGAGTGTTTGTCTATTGTAAATATGCCTAGAGTCAATAGGACCACATCAGACATTGAAGTTGCAATAGCAAATTTGGAAAACAAATTAGCTAAAGAAAAAAAATGTTATGCCTCTTACTAACATTCTAACATTGTTTAGCAAAGCGGTTCTCTTTCATTTGTCTAAATAACTCCGCCAATAACATGTTTAAGACCGAAAGCAACTATTGGACCATCCGGTTGTCGGTCTCGCCAAACTTTTGCCCTTCCCTGGGTCCTCCATTCATCACACACTCACGTATTTAGCAACAGAACACCACTTGAGGTTCTCCACTCAATAATATCAGAGAAGGAGAAACAGCCGGCTGCTACAGCTTCAACTTCAGCACAAACTACCGGAGTCCCAAACAGAAAAACACCATTTGAAGTTACGTACACCAAAAGACATTTGGACCTAGAAAACAGCGACAAGTGTTTAGCGCTCTCTTGTATACTCTGGCATTGCGGGTTTCCGGTTCTATCAGAAGCATCTCAGGGACGATACCCGAGAGCAGGGGTGTGTTCCGTGATCGTGTTTACATTCAAAACCTAGCTTGTTCTGTAGATTTGCAATAGCAGATTTAACTCAGCTTATAAAACCAACATTTAAAGTCTTATGATAGCTTATCTCAATTAGCTGTAGCGGCCATTTTGAATGGGATTGACTCCAAACATTAATCAGTGGTAGACGCACATCCATTAAAGACTTTCTGGGATTTTTCTGAAATTCATCCAGTTGTTCAGGAGATAGTTTGTTAGCAATGCACCAGGATATATTTTAAGAGTTAAGGATGATGCTTTATCTTACACCAAATGTTGTGTTTCGTATATACTGATGATGTGTCACACCCTGTCCTGTCTCCCCATTCTGTTCAGTCCTATGTCCATGTTAATTGCTCCCACCTGCCTTTCATCTTCCAATCACTCCAGGTCCCAGCTCCTCAAGTACTTTAACCCTCTCATTCTTGTTTGTCTTGTCGGTTCATTGTTTCATTGTCTAGCGTGTTCCTTATTAAAATCCTCGTTGAATGTTCCTGTCTATCTGCCTGCCTGCTTCTTCCCCTGCAATTGGATCCTCATCTCTGCTCACCACACCTGCACGTCGTGACACGATGACTCAAATTTTAACTTTATGTTCGTAAAATACATTGAGTTAGAGCAACTCTATGGGTGTTTCTCAATGCCAAGGAACCTTACCTTGATGTATTGGCCGCTCCCCTGTTGCCTAGGAGATACGTCATCAGGAGCCGCCAAGACGTGTTCCAATGTTCATGTTCTACCGAGGAGTGTGCTCTCCATTTGTTAGCCATTTAGCTAGCTGACCAAGGATACACGGGAGGTGTCTTGTAGCCTAGGCTTGGTCAAAAGTTACCCAGAATACACCGCTGCATTTTCAAAAGGACAGCGGATCAGAAGCCGGCAGCTACTTCAGGGAAAATTTTCAAGTTTAAAAGTAAGTCAGCTAATTTAAAATGTATTTTTTTTTTAGATCCAAAGAAGTTATCTATTGTTGGTTAGTTGCTTAGTAGTTGCAGCTTCGGTGGCTAGCGGGTAGTAAGTCCATTATATTTTAAATTTAATAAACATATACACAATTTAAAAAGTAAAAGCTTGTTACATATTTATATTGAAACTAATACGTATAAAATATAAAGTTATCTCCTGTGTCACGTGACGTTACGTGACCGCCGTGGAAGCCGCGGTCACGTGATGCAAGTCTGTTCCATTTAACCGTTTTCTGTGACCAAGGAAGGACAGTGTCCTCGTCAAACTAGGTCTTTGCACAGTGGATCTGTTCGACCCTGCTGAAGCTCCAATGTATCCTGGCTAGACTGACCTGCAGAGTAAAATTCTTTTGCTTCTACAGACTGTCTAGATTTCTAGGCTAGCTCTCTGGGTTAAGTTAGTCAAATTTAACTGCAATATTCTTTATCTACCACAGGGTGGCAGGTTCCTGCATAACTGAACCAATCAGAGCAAACCAATAACTTGTTGAATGCCAGTGTGTTACGTTTTGGATCTAACAACACAAGACGCATAGTCAATATGTAAATATCTGAAATGTTGTTATTTAACCAAAAAATCAGTTGTGATTATGAAGATTTACAGGTTGAACTTTGTCTTAAAATTGCCTCTCTAGGCCTTCCCCTGTGTTGGGATGAGAGTATAACCAAACAAAGAAACTGATCTTCCTTGAGTGTTAAACTCATCTGTATATTTTATCATAACAATTGTACAAAACAAGTCAAGAAATGCTTGTATCAGGTGAGAGTATGCAGTGATGGATGGGAGAGGAGGAGGAATGAAGGAAGCTTATGTGAGGAAGAGGGGGAGGGAGGGAGGGAGGGAGGGAGGGAGGAGAGTGACGGTGATGGAGGGTGGGGGGCTGTTGTTGATTGTTTCTCATATTTCAAGAGTGGTCCCACAGACAGATCTCCATACGAGACCACATGGCGCTCTAATCTGTGTGTCAGGAGGGTCGGAGGACTTCCTAGAAACCATCAGAGTGAGAGCTCCTGTCATCAGCTCTTCTGCCTTCATCCTCATCTCCTGTTTTACTCTGACTCCATCAGAATTTTAGTTTTTTACTTCTTGCTCCAAATCTGTGCTTTTAACCTTGGTTTGAATAATAAAAAAAAAAATCACTGGAGGTTTGCATGAAGATGGTCAACTCTGAAGAGCACCAGCATAGGAAATAAATCCCAAAAGCCAGAGAGACGTTGTTGTTTTTAACAAAGGTGAGTACTTTTTCTCTGTTAGTTGTGATTTTTCTGAGTTTAGTTCTGGTCAGTGTTGTTTTTCAAAAAAAAAAAACTTACAGATCATTGGGTGTTTTGGTGATTTTGAAAGTGATTTTTAATTTTAACTTTGAATGATCAGATTATATTTTTGAAAACAAACAGATTTGTTTAGAGTAATAAAACACATTTCTATTAAAAATTATTAAATTTATATTTTCTCCAGTGTTTAATGTATGTTCAAAGAGATGCTGGTGCAAAGCTGGTTGCAAAATGGCGATCAACAAGTGAAATGAGCTTGCTGTGAACCCCCCAGAAATGCTTTTTTCCCTGTCTTAGCTCAGATCCAGTCACCCTTTGTTGTTTTTCTCTCAGATTTTGACTTCAAAGCCTAAAAAAAAATCAGTGTTTAAACAAAAATACATAAATTATTATTTTCATGCTATATGTATTTTGCCAGGAGGCAACTTTATGCAATAATTTCTACTTTTTTTTTTCCAATCATACTAAACACCGATATGTTATTTATCCTCCCTAGGGAGGCCATTTAAGTTCAAATGACCTAATTTACCATAAAGGGAATAATTAATTTCCCCTTTTATGTTTTCTGTGTCATTTGCTCTTGAGAGTTCACCTACATTATTTTTTCTTCTTCACAGCTGTGAAGATCTCACTCCTAAAGTTTTGCACTGCTCTTCTTTCCTGAGGAAGACTCTGCTGCAGTGATGTCCTCTATTGTAGCGCCGGAAAAACCCTCCTCAAACACCACGGCACCCAAGGAGGTCAGTAGATGGGAGCTTTTATTTAAATTGATGTAAAATAGCGGGAGCAAGGGGAAGATATGCATTTGTGAAGATATCTTTTTTGTTTATTCTTAAAAATGGGAATGAAATTGTAGGTAAAATGAAAAAAAAGGCTTTGCAGGAAGCAAAGGAGAGGAGGTGTCATCTCTTATGTGTGTGTGTGTGTGTGTGTGTGTGTGTGTGTGTGTGTGTGTGTGTGTGTGTAAGATCTGTTGTGGTCCTGAGGATTGTGCACAACAATTATGTGTGTGCACAACAAATCTTCAAATAGTTTTTGAAGGCTTTTGACTCAGCAATCTGCATGAAATGGTCTTCAACCCAATTCTTTCTAGGTGGAGCTCATCCTTGTGAAGGAGCAGAATGGGGTTCAGTTCACCTCGACCACCTTGGTGGCTCCAGCTCAGACTAACCCCAATGGGGAGGAGGAGAGGGAAACCTGGGGGAAGAAAATCGACTTCCTCCTGTCCGTGATCGGATTTGCCGTAGATCTCGCAAACGTCTGGAGGTTTCCTTACCTCTGCTACAAGAACGGAGGAGGTGAGATGGGTGAAAAGAGAAGGGGGGGGGGGGGGGGGGGTCCTTTGGTGTGGCAGGTTTCTGTCTGGAATAACAAAGGACAGCATGCTTGTATAACCTTTACCAGAGATCAAAATAAGGAAACCACAGCTGCTCTGCATAGATTAGCTTTAACAATCAGTGTCACTAATTATGGCTGTTTAACATAGAGCTCTCATTGTGTTTAAGGGCTGAAAATGGTACTGTAGCTAGAAATGAGATGACATTCTAGTCATGATCCAGACTGACACACAGTCTGTCCTCAAACCTACATGTGGAAAACAGCGGTCACGTCAGAGGTCACCTTATAGTAGAAGTATATAGTATAGTAATACTCCAAAAGCAACTTTGTTGTTCAAAATCATGATTCTCTTTTTTTTTGTATAAAATTCTACTTTTCCTCTACCTCACAATGAATGGGTGATCAGCTGGGATTTACAAAACATTTTGTATTATTTTACTAGAAATTACTATGAATATTCAACAGGGATGCACCCATGTGAAAATGTAGGCCAATATCGATTTTTAACCAGAAGTGTCTGACCTGAGTTGTTCAGTCTAAAAGATCACCACTTATGCCTGAGTTTTAGAAATATGTATATATACATATATACAGATATTATATATATATATATATATATATATATATATATATATATATATATATATATATATATATAGGGTAGAAATTTTACATGTTAAGTCCAATTAATTAATAAGAGGACAGATACGTTTTGCATGAAAATGTATGCCGAATACATCCATAAATATCAAGTTGCATCTTTAATACCACTGCAGAGCCTTAGCTACAGGACCATATAAACAATTTTAATGTGCCCCAAACACAGCTGAAAGTACAATTACATAAATCATGACAAATCGTTCTTCATGAAGAAACAGAAAAATATATACTTTTTTTACTTTTATGTTTTCTGGTTCTTAGAAAGCAGGCAGGAAGTAACTTTATCCATGTGAATATTATTACAGCAGGAGGGGAAAGCATGCAGCCTTAATCTTGTAATCCTCAGCAGAACTTCCCCTGAACTCTACACTACACCTCTATATTTATTAGCAGTGCTTTGCTGCCACCTAGTGTTCATTTCAGTACACAATATTTACAGTGTTCCATGCCTATTTTCACTTCATCAATAACACATGTACTAATATTTACTCATCCCAACAAATCCCACAATAGTTACCTTTATAATCAATCGATTGATCGATCGATTGATCGATCAATCAATCAATCAATCAATCAATCGTTTGTTATTTGTTGAGCATTTTACTCACAAAATTGACCAAAGTGCTGTACAGTTAACAACATGACAAATAAAACATAGTAACTATGATAAAACAAATAAAAGACAGGACAGGAGTAAACATGACTACATAAAAGAAGTAAAATATTAATATTAATACCTAACCAACATGATGTGTTTGTGCTCAGCTGAGATTAAAAGCCAAATTACAAAGGTGAGTTTTTAAAGAGACTTAAACTCATTCAGAGACTCAGCCATCCTTATAGGCAGAGTAAGACTGTTACATAGTCTGGGACCCACAGCGGAAAAGGCCCTGTCCCTTCAGGTCACAAGACAAGTCGGGACCCCTAAAATGAGCTGGAGCTCAGACCTCAAACGTCTCGTAGGAACATACTTGCTCAAAATCTCTGTTAGGTAAGGAGGTGCCTGGCCATTTAAACAATTAAAAACTAACAATTAAATCTCAAAGTTAATCCTAAAACGAACAGGCAACCAGTGCAGGGAGAACAGAACAGGGGTGATGTGCTCAAGGCGCTTAGTGCCCATAAGTAGACAGGCATTTTTCACCATTTTGCAGGTGCCGCAGCAGAGAGTTGTCAAACCCAGCATAAAGGGAGCTGCAGTCCAGTCTAGAGGTAATCAGAGCATGGATCACCCTTTCTAGGCCACCATTTGATATAATGAAACCAACATATTCAAATACACCTTGTAGTTATAGAAATATACTCATTAAAGTGTGGCAATGTATTCTGTGCCTCTGTTGCTTTGAATGATTATAATGCAATTAATCAAGATTAATTAATTACAAAGCCTCAAATTAATTAGATTAATTATTTTAATTGAGTCCCACCCTTTATATATATATATATATATATATATATATATATATGGTAAATGGCCTGTATTTGATATAGCGCCTTCTAGAGTCCTGGAACCCCCCAAGGCGCTTTACAACACAATCAGTCATTCACCCATTCACACACACATTCACACACTGGTGGGGATGAGCTACGATGTAGCCACAGCTGCCCTGGGGCGCACTGACAGAGGCGAGGCTGCCGAGCACTGGCACCACCGGTCCCTCCGACCACCACCAGCAGGCAATGTGGGTTAAGTGTCTTGCCCAAGGACACAACGACAGCGACAGACTGAGCGGGTCTCGAACCTGCGACCTTCCGATTGCGAGGCGAGCACTTAACTCCTGTGCCACCGTCGCCCCAATATATATATATATATAAACATTTATATACACACACAAACACCACACACATTTATGCTTTCAAGATGATTAGCTTCTCTGTCACATGACTAAACAAATTACAAATGATCACCCCCTAACCCTCTGAGAAAGATACACAAACGGCAACAAGATGGGAATAATCATCACTATCAGTCCAGTTTTAATTATTGGACCAATACGGTATGTTAAAAAATGACTAACATCTGTAGACAACGATATTGATGTATATAAACTGTGCATCCTTGATATTTAGACATAACACAAGTGGATTTTATTTCATTTGCTACCATAGAGGTAGTTGAGTGTTTGTTTTTAACACACTGTTGTTGTAATGTATTTACTGCGTTTTTTGCAGTTACTTTGTTGCATTTGTGCAGGTGCATTCCTGGTGCCGTACCTGTTCTTCATGGTGATAGCTGGAATGCCTCTTTTCTACATGGAGCTGGCTCTGGGACAATACAACAGGGAGGGGGCTGCAGGTGTCTGGAAGATATGCCCAATATTTAAAGGTAAGAATTTTTTATTGTCACTAGGGGTTGAATAAGGAAAATTTGACTATACAAATAGAGCTTCTGCAGATTTTTGTTTTCTTTTATTATGTTGTTTTTCTTCTGAAAAAATAAAACTTTTGGAACTTAAATTGGAATAGTTGTAACGACACTTGGACACAAAAGGACGTTCACTCTCACCTGAAAAACCTAAATAGAAGTTTGCAGTGATTTAGCATTGGATGTGGCATTTTTTTTCCTGATTGGTAGCTAGCTAATTATGCACATGCATGGCTTATACGTGATTATTTTAAACATGTCAGCCTTTTCCTACTGTAGTGCTTTTTCCAGTGTCACCAATGGGAAAGGCGTTGACATAGATGATGATTTTAACCCACCAAAGAATGAGACCCTTCTTCCATCATTACATTCTCATTCTACTTTATCATTATTGCCACAAAGTTACAACCAGCAAAACCAAAACTACATAAATCACAAACAGAGCTGCCTGGCTCTGAATTATCAGTCAACAACAACAAAAAGACGTGTTCTGTTTTAAGAATTACACATGAAAACACAAACCCTCACACACGTTTTTATTCTTTCCATGAAAATGTCCTGGTTTGTGGTTGCTTTTGTTTTTGGTCCATTTGCCTTCATTGCAGCCTGACTGACAGTAACTCATTCCCGTCTTCATGTCTACGTCTCTCTGTCTGTGTGGCTGCCCACATGCCTGCCTGTCCACATGCCAGTCTCTTTTGTCCGCCCGTCTCTACGTTGAGCAGCGACAGGCATTATTATCCCTCCCAGAACATCAGGTTCTGTTGGCACTTAGATGGAAAGCAAAAGTAAATTGGGCTTTTAAAACTCTCGCCCTGGTTGTCTAGTCAGGTGACGATGACTGGCGGACACGGTTTTTGAACACATCGATAAGCGGAGTGCGGTCCAAGAGTATACACACTAATGGAGACACAAACAGTAAGACTCATTTTTGTTTCCTAACTCAGCCGCAGGTTGAAAAAAATAATGATACTCTTTGCTCGAATCAGCATTTTATGCTTTTGTACACTTTGAAAGCTTTTATTTTTACAGGCGAAACTCAAACAATTAGAACATTAGTTCATTTATGCCAGTAATTCAACTTAAAACACACGAAATAGACTCATCAACCTTTATTTTATTTGTAATGATTATTGTTTACAGTTTATGAAAACCTCACATTTAAAATCTCAGACAATTAGAATATTGTGAAAAGGTTCATTATCATTAAGTGTCACACTCTAATCAGCTTTCAATTCAATTCAAGTTTATTTATATAGCACCAAATCACGACAAGAGTCGCCTCAAGGCACTTCACATAATAAACATTCCAATACAGGTCAGTTCATTAAGCCAATCAGAAAAAAAGTTTCCTATAAAAGGAACCCAGCAAATTGCATTTATTGCAATCCTCATACTAAGCAAGCATTTAGCGACAGTGGAGAGGAAAACTCCCTTTTAACAGGAAGAAACCTCCAGAGAATCCTGGCTCAGTAAAAGCAGCCATCCACCATGACTCACTGGGGATGGAGAAGACAGAGCAGACACACGCATACACCAATATCAGCCCACCCACACACAAACACACATCCACACACACAACATATATACCAAGCAATGTTTCTATGGTTACATTGTGATTTCTTAGTAAATTTTCTATTTGGTGAAAGATAAACTTTATTGTATTTATCCTAGTGAATCTATAGTTAAACGGGTAAACTTGTAGTAGCACATTCCATGTCAAAGAAAGTAAAGTGTTATTATCAGGAGACGGAGAATATTTAAATGGTTAGCAACAGTGTTCAAGATGATGGCCCCCTCCATGAGGCCACCACAGCTCAGCAGAACGTCATTGTAGCTTCTTCTGGGGAGAAAAACACTTAGAGAGAAAATAAAGTTAACAGCTGAAATTGCAGGAAATAATACAGTTGAAGAGCAGATTGTAGAAGAAAGTAGTCGAGTGTTTAAAGTGGTCAGTATGTCCTCCAGCAGTCTAAGCCCATAGCAGCATAACTACATAGATAACTCTGGATAACCTAGCCTTTTAGATGGAGGCATGTTGGAGAGCCGTCTTTACCGACTGTACACTCCACCTCCCTCTACTCCCCACTTGTCCAGATCTAGGCTAACACCAGATTTTAACCATATGCCCTATCAAATAAAAATGTTTTAAAACTAGTCTTAAAAGTAGACAAGGTGTCTGCCTCATGGACTAAAGCTGGGAGTTGGTTCCACAAGAGAGGAGCCTGATAGCTAAAATATCTGCCTCCCATCCCATTTTTAGATATTCTGGGAACCACCAGTAAACCTGCAGTCTTGAGAGTGATGTGCTCTTAAGTAAAGGTTTGATTACAGCAACCTTAATATCCTGTGGTACATATCCATTTACTAAGGATAGATTGATTATATCTAGAATGGGGGCAGTAAGCAAAGGAAATGCATCTTTAAATAATTTGGTTGGGATTGGATCTAAAATGCAAGTGTAAGGTTTAGATGAAGCTAATATCTTTGATAACTCTGACAGCTCAACTGGATCAAAACGGTTCAAACACAGATGAGGTTCTACAGTTACCTCTGATGATGCCTCACTTACTGAGGATGAATAAATTACATTAGGGAGGATGCTAAAGATTTTGTTTCTAATAGAATTAATTTTACTCATGAAAAATCCCATAAAGTCGTTGCTGCTGAGGGCTAAGGGAATAGATGGTTCAGAGCTGTGATTCTGTGTAAAGTTGGCAACTGTACTGAAAAGAAAATTTGGATTATTCTTATTCTCTTCAATTAGCAATGAAAAATATGCAGTTCTATCTTGTCAAAGCTTATTTTTATAAAGCACAAGACTATTTTTCCAGGATAAGTAGGACTCCCCCTGGACTCCAGCTGATTATTACAAAACAACTGCAAAGGGTTCCTGTGCCTGTAGATAGTCTGTCAGTCTAATTGAATTACTGAAATAAATTGCACCTATTATCCATGTTGTTCTTTACATTAACAATTTATTTTATTTATTAACTTATATTTCAGGAGGATACAACCACTTGAGATGAAACATCTCGTTTACAATCTGCAAAGTTCTTTAGCCAAATGTCCTTATTGCTTGGGAAAAAACACTTTAATCCATATTTAACTTAATATTCAAATATGCATCAGAAAATCAGACGCTGTTAATCCTGCAAAAACCATCTGTTGCTTCACTGTATGAGGCCCTCTAGGAAACTTTGTCCTATAGGTGTGAAGGGTGTCCACAATGTCTCTGTCTTCCTGTGAGTCAGGAGTCCCCTGTGTGAGGACATGTGCTGTCTGTCAGAGAGCACACTGAGGACATTGGCGTTCTAATCACATGCTTCACTCTCTCTCTCTTTCTCTGCCTCTCAGCAGGAGGATAACAGTAATTATCCCAATGCACACACACACACACACACACACACACACACACACACACACACACACACACACACACACACACACACACACACACACACACACACACACACACACACACACACACACACACACACACAGTTGTATTGACAGTAATTATTCTGACGGTTTCCTCTCAGGATCAATGCATTTGAAGAAAAGTGCCGAGAGAAAAGTCTGAGAGATAACACGGCCACACGTAGGGCTAATAAGAGACTGCGCTCACTGGGCAAATATCACATCCACATTACAAAGATATCAATAAGACGCAGTCGTGGTCACGCATCTTAGCAAAACTCAACAATTAAATGCAGCCTTAGAAGAGTGGACGTTGCTTCAGGTTTGCAGAAAGGGTAGATGTGCTGATAACTAAAGCATGAATTCACTAACTTTAAAAGATCAGCTTTTGTTTCTGTGAGACCCACAGGCCACAGCTGTACACAAACGATTGTGCTTCTCGATGTGTTCTGGAATCTAATGCTGAGATGGTACATAACAGTTTTGTAGAGACTGACATACCATAATGAAAGTCATATATGTGATATTTTAAAGATAACCAAAACTCAACGTTTACATCATTTTGTGCTGCCATCTGGGCCTCTATAAACACTATGAAAAACAACATCCATTGATTTGCTGTCCGTGTTTGGTTTTAGGATATATGTATCTAAATGATGTTTTTTCAAAAACTCATCATTTGTGATATCGCAAATGAGGAGTGTGAAGTAGAACTACCTCTCATGTGCAAGAAACTCGAGTCACTCCCTCATATCAGAGCTTCTCAGCTTATAGTAGCCTGAGCAGAGGATGGGTGGGCGTGGCCATCAGCTTGCTTTCCTAAAGTGACAGAGCCCAGAAACTCTCATTCTGGAAGGTATAATGAAAATGTCAAGATCAAAACTGCTGAAATAGCTTCATGTGAGAGGGATTTATCGACCATGGAACTATTTAAAAAAGAGTCAAAAGTAAAAAAGGCATCATATGTCTCCTTTACATTTTTTAGGGCTTAATTTCTGCTACCCAAGGAATAGTTTGGTTTGGTGCATCATATATTATGTATTTTGCAAAGTAGAGTGAAAAAAAAAAGAATTTTAATCACCTCTGATACGTACAATCTTGGAAAAATGATCCCATGAAGAAAGGGTGTTGCGCTTTGGAATTATTATTCTTTTTTGTCATTTCAGCTACTTGGATACAAGATATCATTCTGATTGTCACAATTTTAATCTCATGACCCTGGGGGGGGGGGGGGGGGGGGGGGTTGAAATAAAGACCAAACAGTAAGTTACCAGATCATGACGGAAAAATCCTTGATAAGTTAGATTTTCTTTACATCCATCCATCTTTTTTATTTGCTTTATTTTATGTTGTGGTTGCTTCACATGGTCCAAATGGTAGTTATACACTTATTTTTCCCCAGCAAATATCCAGCTCCTTATGGAGAATCACATCGTGTTTCTGGATCAGAAGGAACTTTCAGTATCTCTACAAGTTCTGGGTCTTCCTCAGGATCTCCTTCCATTGGCATGTGCCTGAGAAACCTCTGAAGGGAGGCAGCCAGCAGGAATCCTGATCAGATGACTGAATTGCCTCATAAATTCTCTTCACATGACCTGTAATGTATATTTTTTGTTCCTTCCAGGTGTGGGTTTCACAGTGATCCTCATTTCACTTTATGTTGGTTTTTACTATAACGTCATCATCTCCTGGGCGCTGTTCTACCTCTTCTCCTCGTTCACCAGCGAGCTTCCATGGGTCCACTGCAACAACACATGGAACAGTCCAAACTGCTCGGATTGGGCTGAGAACAGCTCGGTCAGTGATATTTACAAAGCCACACCAGCTCAAGAGTACTTTGAGTAAGTTCATTCTATGATTTGTGGCTTTATTAACACGTTTCTATTCTGCGAGTGCTTAATGATAGGCAATATATATTTAGAAGACATTTTCCCTCTTGGAAACAACTCTGAGTTTGGTTTCACTTGTCTGATTCTACCTCGCTGTCTCTGTGGAGCTGAGCAGGTGTTTCCTGATGAAGCAGGTGAGGGGCTGTTCTGTTGTGACAGCTGAAGCATGCTATCAATGATGGCTGCAGTGGCAGTGTATCATTTTCACAAAGCCACCTGCAAATAATGTGAGCACAGCTGAACACTGGAATTTGTATTTGGTCTCAGCTTTTAGGTTGTTATGAAATTAACTAGAAGAAAGCATCAAAAAGTTCAGTCATTGTGCCGTCTTTCATGGGGTGTATGTAAAATATCCTCGTAAGAGGAAATATGATTAATCATCATCATCATCATCATCATCATCATCATCATCATCATCATAATCACACAAACATGCACATAGGACCTAGGGGGGTGGACAAGTCAGGGGGTGTGGGTATGAACCCATTTCCGCATTCCTGTGGCAACCTGCCCCCCAATTTTACTTGCACATTAAACACTTCCACCAACGTCATTCCACGCAAACACACACTTAGGGCCATGGGAGTGAGCACATTCAACGGCATCTGGCAAGGGGATCTTTCAGCCTCATCCCAAGTGCCAGTACCCACTTCCAATTTTAAACTGCACTTAGACACAGAGGGCTGTGGGGGGGTGGGGGGGGGGTGGGGTGGGGTGGCATCAGCTGGCGTAGGCCAGACAATGCCCACACTGCCCACTCACCACAGCCACGAATACATCTCATCAATACGCACCAACACAGTATTGGAGCAGGCGGAGGGATGCTAGGGGTCTTAGCACACCTCTGTTGTCGCTTGGCTTTCCGGGGCTGGAGGCTAGGAGGGGGATCTGGCCATCTGGCTGGGGTCTGGGGTGGTGGGATGCTTTGCTCAGCGTTGGGCGGCGGAGCCTGCTCATCAGCACCCCAGCAGAAAGGGTTGAACTCTGGGAACCGGTGATGGTTGTACCCTTTGTGCAGCAGTACCGGGACCAGAGTGAATAGGGTGTGTATGGGGAGCATGAGTGGGTGTCTGGCGTGCATTTTTGTAAGTCTTTGGTTGTATGTGCATGTGTGAGCATGAGGGAGGGAGTGTGTGACTGTGTTTGTGTATGACTGTATATGTCAGGTGGGGCCTTTGACTCCTCCCTTCTCCTGGAACTTCTTTTGATGCTATACATCTTCGCCTCCCCTCCCTCTGCCACACCTGGTGTGGAGTGCAGTGCCTTGGTCTGCCTGAGTGTTTGTGACTCCCAGGTCAGGGGGTTTAAGATTTTTGGCATCTGCCAGACCAATCCCGGTGGCTGCCTGGTGGGATCTGAGTCCCTGGGCTCTGTTGGGTCCCCGGCGGGGTGGTCACCCCTGGGTCCTGGGTCGCTGGGTTCCGGGCTCGGCCGGTTTGGGGGTGGGAGGCTGCGGGTGGGCCTGTGGGCTTGCCGCTGATATCCCCCGGGACTCTGCCGGCTGCTGGTTGTGGCACCCCGGGGCAATCCTCTGCGCCTCTTGAGGGGGACAGGGGCTTTTCTAGTTACAGTCTCCGTGGGGACCCTGTGCTCTGGGGCAGCTCCTGTATCTCTGGGACTTGGAGCTCCCTCCATCTCCTACACATCTTTGGGGGGCAGATCTGTGGCCCCTCACACTCTCTATTGGAGGCTCCTATAGAGAAACCTTACATATACAAGCGCAGGTACACACACAGGTGCTCACATGGTGCTCTCATAAGTTTGGACTTGGGCACGCTCAACCAGTGTTGGGAGTAACGCCGTTTAAGTATAACGGCGTTTCTAACGGCGTTCTTTTATAGGTAACGGAATAATCTAATTAATTACTTTTCCCGCCGTTACAACGCCATTACCGTTACTGGGGACGGAAGGTTGTGCGTTACTATGTGCTTGTCGAACATTGAGCAACAGGCTTTCTGACCGCCACACTTCAGCTGCAGCCAGGGAGAGAGAGGTGTCGGCGCGCTAGGATGATGTCGACGCCAAAACAACCAAAACAAAGTGGAGACTCACCTCTTACATCAGGAAGAATCTGCGTGTTTCGAGCGTTATCCGTTCTTTCATAATCCGTTGATGAATTGTGATCGGCAGAAGCTTTTCCGGTTCGCGCCTCACTTTTTACTGCAGCGGCCCACGTCAAAACGATCGTTTCTGTTACTGATAAGGAAATGCGTGCGTTAAGCAGCGCGGTGTGTTGAAGCTGTCATCAGCTGATCAGGAGCTAGAGGTAGATGTTTTCATCCAAGAGCATCACGGCCCGTGAAGAACGAGGAAGACGTGATGAATATTTACGGCTGCAGACCCCCCGCAGATTCGCTGGTGGGAATCTGCAGCAGCGAATCTGCGGGTCTGCAGCCGCGCCCTTCTTGGCGTGACAGCGGGACGTCCCGAAGGTCCGCTCACCTGTTCACCACTCAGACGTCCTGATCTTTTGCTTTCCTAGATCATCCAGCTGTAACCTGTTCCTGATCATGTCTTTAGTCCCGCTGTAACACTGATGCATCAGTCTCAAACGACATGGAGCTCAGGTGTTATTAGAACTGTGTGTGTTTACCACCCAGCTTCAGCTCTTCTGTGGTTGGGTCTGACCCAAGTTAGTACATTTAAGTCCTCCATCAGGCTTGTGCCTCTTCTAGTGTCATTTTAAAGGATATTTATTTATTTATTCAACCATGACTAGATTACCAGCAACAGAAATGCTGCTAAAAACACACAATTATGTGAAGCTGGAAAAATTAGAATAATGTGCAAAATTACATTTATTTCTGTAATTTAACTAGACCGAGAGACCATTTAAAGGCTCGGGAACCTTTACAGGTGTTTCTATTTGCAATTTTAAATTTTAGCTGATTGGGGTCTTGTTAAATATCACACAGTGACCTTTTAATAGTCTAGATTAGTCTAATGTTCCTGTTAGTAGTTCCTCCTGTTAAGTGCTTATTTATTGAAATTATTCAGGTTAATAAAAAACATTTGGACAAACATTTTATTACGTTCCAGTCAATAGTCATGTATATTTCACTATTGTAGTAATTCTTGCATTCTTTAATGAAAAAAGTAACTAAGTAGTTACTTTTGTTGGTAATTAGTTACTTTTATGATCTTGTAACTCAGTTAGTAACTGAGTTACTTTTTTGACAAAGTAATCAGTAACTATAACTAATTACTTTTTTAAAGTAACGTTCCCAACACTGCGCTCAACACATGTCTTAAGGCTGTGGTGGGCACTAAATGCACTGTGATTCATTATCGTGAATGTTCAGTAAAACAATGTTGATTTTATATTTCTTCATCGGGCTGATGCAGTGATAGTTTGCTCCTGTTGTATTGTTGTGTGTCCCTTTTCTTTTTTTCTCCTTCTGTAGGTCTAGAAGCAGACTCTTGTTCATCATTGATTGTTTATTTTTGTGGCCATTTACCATTTTAACAGAGTGCTATTCTTTTCTGATTTGTATATCATTGATTTTATGCATTTCCATTTTATTGCTCACGTTCAGCGCTTTGGACAGCTGTCATGCTGTTTTTACATGTGTTCTAGAAATAAAATTGATTGAAAAGTGTAGGTGAAGGTTGGAACGTAGATCAATCGCTAAATAGAGAGTTTCCCAAGTGGAGGAGTTTAAATATCTTGGGGTCTTGTTCATGAGTGAGAGAAATATGGAGTTCGAGATCGATAGGCGGATTGGTGCTGTGTCTGCAGTTATGCAGTCGTTGTACCGATCTGTCGTGGTGAAGAGAGAGCTGAGCCGGAAGGCAAAGGTCTCTATTTAATAGTCGATCTATGTTCCTACCCTCACCTATGGTGATGAGCTTTGGGTAGTTGCTGAAAGAACAAGATCACGGATACAAGTGGCCAAAATGAGTTTTCTATGCATTGTGGCTGGGCTCTACCTTAAAGATAGGGTCAGAAGCTCAGTCATCCAAGAGGGGCTCAGAGTAGACCTGCTGGTCCTCCACATTGAGAAAAGCCAGTTGAGGTGGCTCAGGCATCTAGTTAGGATGTCTGCTGGACGCCTCACTGGTGAGGTTTTCCAGGCATGACTAACCGGGGGGGGGGGGGGGGGGGGGGGAGAGACCTAAAGAAAGACCCAGGACACACTGGAGGGACTATGTTTATCAGTTGGCCAAGGAATGCGGCCTTGGAATTCCCCCGGAGGAGCTGGCCCGAGTGGCTGGGGACAGGGAAGTCTGGGCCTTTCAGCTTAGGCTGCTGCCTCTGCGACCCGACTCCAGATAAGCGGAAGAGAACTGATGGATGGATGATTGGAAGCCAGAAATGACAGATTTTGCCATCCTGACAGTTTTCTGATAATTACGTCCCAGAATCTTCCAAAGTTTCAAAAGACACCTGCAGCTTATCCTATCTTCACCTTTATTCAGCCTTCCTACAAACACTCCTAGCCGCATGAGCAACATCACTCAGCTTGTTGTTAAAAAGCAGGTATCCACAGGTGCCGACCTGGACACAAGTTAAGTGCAGTTCCTGGTCAGCAGAGGGCTACAGAGTGATAACCAAAAGCTGCCCAAGTTTATGGTTCAAGAACCACTGACACCAGTTTGAAAGCACTAACTTAAAGTGTTGAAAACATCAAATCAGGGGTTCTAAATCCTGGTCCTAGAAGGCTGTCATCCAATGTTTTAGTTGTTTCCCTCCTTGAACACACCTGATTTTAATCAGCAGGGGCCTCATTTATCAAGCTTGCTTATGCACAAAACGGGGTCGGAAAACTGCATAAGCAACTTTCCACGCAAACTTTGCGATTTATGAAAGAAAACTTAGCGGATAAATGTGCGCAACTTTAAGTTGACTAAGGACCTGGCTTACGCACATTTTGGACATGTAGAGCACCTGCAGTGCTGCTGCTGAGAAGAGAAAATTATGAAATCCTGCAGCGTTATCACTTGTACTGCTTCGTTTTCACACAGAACAAGCCCCCCCGCACGCACGCACACACACACACACACACACACAGCCTGAAGTGCAGAATAAAGAATGCAGATTATCAGCAGGGGGACGGATTGAGACGGAATATCATGCATCCGTGACAATGTGAGTGTCCTGTCACTGTGACCCGATTGATCATGCGCCCTGGCTACTTGGACAAGTGAGATCTCCGTTTGGCTGACTGGTTAGCGTGCGTGGATTTCACTCGGGAATGTGGGGATTGAATCCTGATCGGACCCTTTTTTTATATCCGCCACAGATCTCTCTGAAGAATTCACAACATTGATGGCTTCAGCAACGCTGTGCCACTCTGTGGATTTTCTCTTATTTGTTTTGCAAAAGTACTTCCTTTCATTTCTCCACCTCACCCACAGGTATCTCAATTTCTGCTTCTGTGAAATTGCGCTACCTTGATCTGCCTTGATCTACGGTCGCCTTTGGCGGAGCGCTGCAACAAGCCGGTTTATGTATATGCATGAGATCCACAAGGCACTTTGCACTGACTATTTATGACAGTAAGTGGGCGTGGTGCGGGCGGGATGTGACTAAAATGCAGCTGAGAATCATTCTCGTTAGTCTCCGATTTATGAAGTGGAGATTGCGTGCAGCTGTGCGTACTCCATGTTTGATAGATCACAAACCTACTTGGCATAAGTGCATTTTTTTTGCTGAGCTTAAGTACGGTTTTAGTAAGGATTCTACTCAGTGTTTGATAAATGAGACCCCTGGTGCTTACCAGGCTTCTGCAGAACTTGATGAGCTGCTTAACAGGTGATACAACCACTGAATCATGTGCGCTGGAGCAGAGAAACCACTAAAGCGTGCTGGAAACCGACCCTCCAGGACCAGGATTGAGAATCCCTGCTCTAAATGATGCTGTAGTCTCAAAGTTGAAAGAAATGTTGAACGTGTGGTAGCAGAAAAGACTTTCCATTAGATTTGCTTCTAATATTATTATGGGATGTAATTTACCTGGACATTCTCTTTCCAAGACGAGGGGTGCTCCACATTCAGGACAGTAACGGTATCGAAGATCTGGGCCGTCCTCGCTGGCAGCTCACTTCCTGTTTGGCCGTGGTGATTATTCTGCTTTACTTCAGTCTCTGGAAAGGGGTCAAAACCTCGGGCAAGGTAGGACATATCACACTACAAATTACTAATGTTGATCAGGTAAATGTCTGTATATCATTTACCGCTGAATCAAACCAAAGGACAGTAGCACATCTAACTTTTTGCTCCAGACTATCATGTACGTAAATGTTTGAGTGTCTTCTCTCTCTCTCTGTGTGTGTGTGTGTGTGTTATGATGTGTGTGTTTTGTGTGTGAATGCGGCAGGTTGTGTGGATCACAGCCACCATGCCCTACGTGGTCCTGACTGTGCTGCTGCTCCGTGGAGTCACTCTGCCTGGAGCCATCGATGGCATTAAAGCCTACCTCTCTGTGGACTTCCTGAGACTCTGTGATGCCAAGGTGAGCGCCAGCAGTAGAGACGGAGATACAGGTGAGGTGAGAGCAACGGGAGTCCAGGAGAGCAGGGATACTCTGGTGGATTAAAGCCACATTAAAGGAACTTTTTGACATTTTGAGTTTTCTTTTTTTAATAAAACACACCACAAGCATCTAACTTGTATCGAGAGCATCTAAACTGCCAGTCCAACAAAGTAGGGAAACCTCTTGATCAAATAGGCTTTTCCTCCCTGTTATATTAATTGACTTATTCATTCTTGACTCTCAGAAAGTTAATTCATTTTCCAGTGTTGCACTGAGAACTTGTCATTCTTTTTTTTCAGGCTTTTTAGTGGGAAAACCATAACGTTGTCAGTCTAATTATATAATGCAGAAAAGCTTATTTAAATAGTGTTTTTAGAAATAGAAATAGAATCAACTTTATTGATTTCACGGTGGGGAAATTCACTTGTTACAGCAGCACCAACACTTAAGAGAATAATTTGAAAAACAATAATAACAAAAGTACATGTATAAACACATAGGCAGTCAGCTAGTATTGATCGACCGCTAAAAACCACGAAAAAAAAACTTGGGTTCCAGAACTATGCAGCATACTCTAAGGGACACAGACATACTGTGTACTGCACAAGTACTGAACACATACTAAGTATTGCATTGATCATATCGTGTAACAGGATAATGCCAGTACCAGTTCAACTGAGGAGTTACACTCTCTCACTGCAGAGGGGATGAATGACCGACGGTAGCTTAATATTTTACATCTTGGATGTCTCAGTCTGTCTCTGAAGGAGCTGTCCATGGTCTCCACGGTCGAGGGCTTTTTAAGATAGAGATCATCTTTCCCAGCATCCTTCTTTCACACAGTTCCTCAACTGAATCCAGTGGGATGCCCAGAACCAAGCTAGCTCTGTTAACTAGCTTGTTAAGTCTCTTCCTGTCTAGGTCAGATCTGCCTGCACCCCAGCTAACCACAGCAGAGTGAATAACAGATCCACCAACAAAGTGATGAAAGGATTTTAGCAGCTGGGAATTAACTCTGAAGGACCTCAGCCTGCTCAGGAGGCAGAGGCAGCTTTGGCCCTTCTTATACACAGCATTTGTGTTGTTGGACCAGTTCAGTTTGCTGTTGAGGTGAACACCCAGGTAATTAAAGTTATCCACCACCTCAGTGTCTACTGGTGAGTGAGAAGGAGTGTTTCTCTGGAAGTCAATCACCATTTCCCATGTCTTACTGGTGTTTAAGCGAAGGTTGTTATGCTCACATCAGTCCACAAAGTCCTCAGACACACAGCTGACAATGGCTGAGTCAACAGAGAATTTCTGGAGGTGACAGCTGAATGTATTGTAGGTGAAGTCCGAGGTTTAGAAGGTGAAAAGAAAGGGTGAGAGCACCCTGTGGAGCTCCAGAACAGCACACAACCACCTCAGGCATATAGTTGTGCAGCCTCACATACTGTGGCCTGCTAGTGAGGTAGTTGATGGTCCATGCAGTCAGATGTTTGTCCACCCCTGCACCCCTCATCTTCTACTGCAGTAGACACGGCTGGATGGTGCTGAAGGCACTTGAGAAGTCGAAGAACATGATTCTCTTAAGAATAGGTTTGAAATGTTTACAATTGATTTTAAAAACGTAGAAATACTGTTTTACACTAGCTGTTAGCTTATCAATCTACACATAATATCCCTGTTTCTCCAAACTGGGGTCAGTAATGGAGCTATCTGCAACTGGTGGAACATGAACTGTTTCTAACGTTTTTTACACTTCAAAAGATCTGAACTGTTCCTTTAATATTTGAGAGATACCCGTTTGCAGAGCGCACAGTGCTGTATTCTGTTAACATCGACTGTAGACGTTTGAACAGAGGGCCCTGAAGAGATGGGGAAATTGTTTACCTTCTTTACTGAAGCCCTCTTGCTATTAGGAACATCAATAAGCAAACATGAAGAAATTCAGTTACGGAGAATGATAGCGAGCAAAGTGGAGATATTAAGAGATGCATGGGAGCAATTGGAGAATTAGATTAAATAGATGCATGGAGCAGTAATTTGCAAAATTACCTCCCAGTATTCACATGCGTCTTTCATCTACTGCTGTTGAATGAGTTTCCTGCAATTATCTCTAATAATGGCTTTTTTCCTCTCCTGTGCCTTTTGTTTGCCGCTTCACACGACTGTGCTTGTGCACTCGCTCTGCAGGTCTGGATCGAGGCTGCGACGCAGATCTGTTTCTCGCTGGGAGTGGGGTTTGGTGTGCTAATTGCATTTTCCAGCTACAACAAATTCAGCAACAACTGCTACAGGTAAACACACACACAGGGAAAGGCAGGTGGGGATTCATCAAGGCAGAAAAGAGGTGGAGAAGTTACAAGCACGCAAGACATGAGCAGGAGAATTAGAAAAACCTTTGAAGCTTCTTGAAGGAAACTACGTCTTTGACAGCAGACTTTGTACAAGTACACACAAAGTATGTTTTATTATCATTGTGTGTAACATACCAAGCACACTCTTCAGTGACTTCTCCTCTCACCTAAAATGTCAAAGTATGTTTGTCTAACTTAATTTTCATAGTAATTGTGATTTTTTTTTTTTGCACAGATAATGTTTAAAGTTGACGTCACACAGCTGTTGGTCAGCGCCAAAAAGCGTACACGGACATTGGAAACATTAAAAGTTATTTTCTGTTGTATGCCGCAATTTAAAACATTAGGAAGAATGAATGTGTGAAATAAAAAGTGGTGTTCAATGACCAGAAGAAGCACAGTTTTTTACAGTTCCCTGTGAGACTCCAAACCACCGTGAATTATGGCGTTGTGCAGAGTTCACAAAAAAATGATTACATTTTTACAAGTCAGTTGTTTGGCGACATCTGCTGATGTAATTTTCTACTGAGCTAAAACCAATCTGTGAGTTAAAGGAACTGCATCGTGCTATTTTTAACCTTTTAGCAAGGATAGGCTCAAATATGATTGTCAGTTACAAGCAAACTGTTTACTGAACTGACCTCTCCTGAGCCTTCGCTACAAAAAAGTACTTCTAGCCCAACCATCAGAAGCCCTATGGCATCATTTTCTTCATTTACCCCTCTCACTGAGAACTGTGAATCCAAATGTCTCATGTGTAGCCACCCTACTAAATGCCCACTCGACCCCATTCTGACTAAGCTGCTCCAGTCTATTGCTCCTACAGTAGCTGCAACAGTCACAAGTGATTAATGCTTCACTAACATCTGGTACACTTCCCACCCCTCTCAAGCATGCTCAGGTTAAACCGCTTCTAAACATCATCATCATCATCATCATCATCATCATCATCATCATCATCATCATCATCATCACCTTTATTTATAAAAGCACCTTACAGACATGTATCATGTCACCAAGGTGCTGCACAAGACTAAACTAAAAAGATAAAAACAAAGAATATATAGGAACCCAATAAAAAAAATTTAAAACAGCAAAATACAAAACATCAATTAACACACAGATTTAAAAGCCAGATTATAATAATGGGTCTTCAGCACCTTCTTAAAAACCTCTACTGACGTGGAGAGTCGCACAGATAATGGAAGATCATTCCATAATTTTGGGCCTGCTACCGAAAAAGCCCTGTCTCCTCTTGTTTTGAGCCTAGTTGCAGGGACTAGAAGCATATGGTGAATCTCTGAGCGGAGTGAACGACTAGGTATATATGGCTGAAGCAAGTCAAATAAATATTCTGGTGCCATCCCATTCAATGCCTTAAAGACCAATAAAAGAATCTTAAAACACACTCTAAAAACTACCGGTAACCAGTGCAGATCTGCCAGGATGGGTGTCACTTGATCATATTTCCTTTTCTCTTCTAGGAATCTTGCCGCGGCGTTTTGCACAAGCTGCAGATGAGCTACTGTACTCTCTCTCACCCCAATTAAGACAGAGTTACAGAAGTCTAAACGAGAGGTGATAAATGCATGCACAACAGTCTCGAGGTCCTTTCTAGTTAAAAATGAATTCACTTTGGCGAGACGTCGCAAGTGGTAAAAAGAGGACGATACAACCGCACCCACATGTGCATCAAATGTGAAAGCGTTATCTAATGTCACTCCTAAGTTGACCGCCGAAGAATGTAGGTAGGCATTCATATCCCTACAATCTAGTTTTGATTGCTCTAAATCACGATGTAACCCAAACAGCACTGCTTCAGTTTTGCTTTCATTCAGACATAAAAAATTGTCCATCAACCATGACTTAACTTCAGTTAGACAGTGCATTACGGTAATAATGGGACAGTCGATTCGATAATCCAAGGGTAAGTAAAGTTGGCAATCGTCAGCATACATATGAAATCGAATTCCATACTTCCTCATGATGTCCCCCAGTTGCAATATGTAAATCAAAAACAACAGTGGTCCTAATATTGAACCCTGTGGGACCCCCCACTGCAGGTGTGTGAATCCAGAATTAAACCCACCCATCCTAACACTTACAGTCCTATCCTTCAAATAAGATCTGAACCAGTCTAAAGCCAGACCAGAGATTCCGACATTATACTCTAAACGATGGAGCAAAACTTCGTGGTCCACAGTGTCGAACGCAGCTGTAAGGTCCAACAAAGCAAGTAGCACAGGATTTCCCCTATCAGTTTCCAACATAATGTCATTTAATACCTTTATCAGTGCCGTTTCCATACTATGAAAAGCTTTAAAGCCAGACTGAAAAGTTTCCTTAATGTTAGACTCTTCTAGGAAATCCATTAACTGAGTATAGACACATTTTTCTAGATTTTTACTCAGAAAAGGGAGCTTTGCAATCGGCCGGTAGTTGCAAGGCTGCATACCATCTAACCCCGATCTCTTTAACAGTGGGTTAATAACCGTCTTTTTAAAATCAATTGGGACATAGCCAGAGACCAAACTGCTATTAATAACTTTCAATATTAATGGTGCTATTCCATGAAAGACTTCCTTAAACAGCCGCGGTGGTATGATGTCTTTAGGAGATCCACTCGGTTTAATTATGTCCACCAACTTAACTAAGTCATCGAGGGATACTGGCTGAAAAGACTCTAAATGTCTATCCAAAGTAAATGAGGGAGTTCGCATATTTGCTCTTGACAGTGCAGAACACAACAATGCCACCTTTTCAATAAAAAAAGTCCAAGAAAACTAGTACACATCTCGTCTGATAGCTGTGCAGGGAAACCATTATCCACATTTATCACAGCATTAATTGAGGCATCATAAAGCATTCTAGAGTTGTTACAATTAGAAGTGATTAGGTTTGAATAATAGTCAGTCTTTGCCTTTTTAATAGACTCCTGGTAATTTTTCCAGCTTTCCCTTAGGGCAATCAGGGAGCCATGCTGTTTGTCTTTTTTCTATTTTCTCTCACATCTCCTGCATTCCCATCTTGCAGCCCGCGTGAGCTCAGTTGACCATGACTTAGCAGCACGATTTCCCTTCTTTATTTGAAGAGGTGCAATAGTGTCCAGAATGTCCTTACTAATATTGTTAAAACAGCTTAGCAGGCAATCCAGACTTCTGTCAACAGATAAATGAAGCACAGCTTCACTAAATAAAAATAAAAATTGTCCTGAAGTAGCTGAATTCACAGAGTGAGAAAGTATAACAGGAGTAACAGATTTCAGCATACTCTCACCCATGTTAGTGTAATACCGGCTTATGGTCAGAAAAGACTGCATCATGAACACAAAGGTTACATCCAAATGACAAAACAAGGTCCAATGTGTGACCACATACCTGAGTGGCCCCATTAACATTTTGAATAAGGATAAAAGAGTTCATGAGATTAATAAAATCTGTGACCAGCAGTTTTCCAGGGCAACAAACATGAATATTAAAATCTCCCATTAGCAGAATTTGATCATAACGAGATGCACAATTAGCCAAACATTCACTGAACTCAGATATGAAATCCTTACTATATTTTGGGTGTCAATAGACCACCGCGCAGAGGAGTGGCTGTTGTTGGTGACCAAGTTCAAACAAACACAGTTCAAAATTGCTGTTAGAGGACCATGGGATACGTCTTTTAATCTTGACATTAGCTTTATATACAACTACTCTGCCCCCTCTATGCCTTTTATCCCTCGGAACATTGATAGAAACACAGTCAGCCGGAACTAGTTCATTAAGGGCAAAGGACTCACCAGCAGTAATCAATGACTCCGTTACACAAAGAATATCCAGACCATGTGTAACAAAAAAATCATTTAAATTTAATGTCTTGTTAGCCACCGACCTAGCATTGACCAGGCCCTACCTCAAACAAGATGATGCATTAGCTCCAGTGATAGTTAGAGCTCTATTCACTAGTCGAAGATACAGCAAGTTGATTCCTCTTTGATCAAACCGCTGGGAAGGAGGGGGACGACCACCGCATTCACCCTTCCTCCAAGTCATGTGGAGAATTACCAACCTATCTCTCTCCTCCCGTTTCTGTCTAAAATCATCTAAAGGGCAGCCATCAAGCAGGTAGAAGAAGAAGAAGAAGAAAATATCATTTCTATGGCGCCTCTCAAGATAAAAATCACGAGGCGCTTAACACAGGTCACAGAACACCTCTCACAAAACCGTCTGCTTGACCCATACCAATCTGGTTTAAAAATGGCCACTTCACTGAAACTGCTCTGCTAGCAGTGGCTGAAGCCTTAAAAGAAGCTAGAGTGGCTGCCAAATCCCCAGTAATTATCCTGCTTGACTTATTGGCTGCATTTGACACTGTCAACCATGGCTTACTTTTGTCCACACTCTCTACCATGGGCATCACAGGGAAAGCACACTCCTGGTTTGAATCATACCTGACAGGACGATCATTCAGTATATCTTGGCTTGGACAATCTCCTGCCCTTCACCATCTTGCCACATGAGTCCCCCAGGGCTCTGTTCTAGGACCTCTTCTTTTTGCCATATACACCACCTCACTGGGTGAGATCATTCGATCACATGGCTTCTCCTACCACTGCTATGCAGACGACACCCAGCTCTATCTGTTGTACCCGCCGGATGACCACACATTCTTTGCACGAATCTTGGAGTGTCTCTTTGACATATCAAGATGGATGAAATCTCACCATCTCCAACTCAACCTCTCAAAAACCAAATTACTTGTCATCCCAGCGAAACTAGCCATATGGCAAAATATCTCAATAAAAACAATTCCCTGTCTCTGGCTACTTCAAAGGCAGTTTGAAACTTGGGCGTTGTGATTGATGACCAGCTGACATTTAAAGATCACGTTACCTCTGTTGCGTGTTCATGCTGTTTCACACTGTATAACATACAAAGTTCAGACCATACCTAGTACAATGTGCCACACAGCTCCTGGTGCAAATTACTGTCATCTCCTGCCTTTACTACTGCAATGGCCTTCTAACTGGTCTTTCAGCCTGTACTGAGACCTCTTCAAAGTGTCCAGAATGCAGCGGCATGTCTGTTCTTTAACCAGCCTGAAAGAGCACATCACCCTCTGTTCACTGAGCTCCATTGGCTATTGTTAGTTACATGCATCAGATTCAAATCGCTAACAGTAGCATACAAAATCCTGAATGGACTCCCATCTACCTGAATTCTCTTGTAAAGGCTTATGTCATGACTCGGCCACTCCAGTCATCAAAGGATCGTAGGCTAGCAGTGCCTACACCATGCTCAAGACAATCCAGACTCCTTTCATGTGTTGTTCCACAGAAGTGCAATGACTTACCAGGTATTACCAGAATAGGGGCGTCCTTGTCCATTGTTGAGAAACTCCTGAAGATCCAGCTCTTCAGAGAGCATCTTCTTTTTTTTATATTTAATTTTTTTTTAACCGTGTCCTATCTGGCTGTGAAGCAAACAGAATTGATGTCTGAATGCTGGTAACAAGCCTTACAGATTTACGCTCAGGTGGAGCATCAAAGCATCTGCTTTTAATGTCACGTCTGATACATAAAACTTTATTGTTATTGTTTTTGAATGCTTTGTAATTCTGACCAGACACGGAGTCAGAGGTGAAAGAGAAAGGAAAAGACAAAAGGTGGGGAGAGAGGGGGGAGGGGGGGGGGTATCCACAAAAATAAACAATATTGAACAAGAGTCTGCTTCTAGACCTGCAGAAAGAGAAAGAATAGAAAAAAATGGGACACACGACAATACATCAGGAGCAAGCTATCATTGCGTCAACCTGATGATGAAATATAAAATCAACATTGTTTAACCAAACAATCACACGATAATAAATCATAGTGCATTTAGTGGCAACGACAGCCTTAAGACATGTGTTGAACGTGCCCAAGCCCATACTTTTGAGAGCACCATGTGAGCACCTGTATGTGTACACGCGCTTGTTTATGTAAGGTTTCTCTATAAAAGCGTCCAATAGAGAGTGTGAGGGACCACAGATCTGCCCCCCAAAGATGTGTAGATGGAGATGGGGGGAGCTCCAAGTCCCAGAGGTCCAGGAGCTGCCCCAGAACACAGGAACCCCAAGGAGACTGAAACCAGAAAGGCCCCTGCCCCCCTCGAGAGGCATAGAGGATCGCCCCGGGGGGCCACAACCAGCAGCCGGCAGAGTCCCGGGAGATATCAGCGGCAAGCCCACAGGCAGGCCCGCAGCCTCCCACCCCCTAGCCGGCCGAGCCCGGGACCCAGCGACCCGGGACCCAGGGGCAACCACCCCCGCCGGCAACCCAGCAGAGCCCAGAGACCCAGACCCCACCAGGCAGCCACCGGGATTGATCAGGCAGACGCCAAAATTCTTAAACCCCCTGACCCGGGAGCCATGAACACTCAGGCAGACCAAGGCACCACACTCCACACCAAGTGTGGCAGGGAGAGGGGAGACAAAGATCTATATCATCAAAAGAAGTCCCTGGAGGAGAAAGGAGTCAAAGGCCCCACCTGACATATACAGTCATACACAAGCACAGTCACACACTCCCTCCCTCATGCTCACACATACACATACAACCAAAGACTTACAAAAATGCACGCCAGACACCCACTCATGCTCCCCATACACACCCTATTCACTCTGGTCCCAGTACTGCTGCAGATTGGGTACAACCATCACCGGTTCCCAGAGTTCAACCCTTTCTGCTGGGGTGCTGATGAGCAGGCTCCCCCGCCAACGCTGAGCACAGCAACCCACCACCCCAGACCCCAGCCAGACGGCCAGATCTCCCTCCTAGAGTCCAGCACCAGGAAGCCAAGCGACATCAGAGAGCATCTTCTAAACTAGGACCCTCCCTATTCCTGTCCCCCACTCTACTGTCCACTTCTTGTTCACTTCCCTTTATGATTCATTATGATGTCTCACTGCCACCTAGGATTGACTGAGTAGTGTTTGTTGTTAGCCTCAAGGGCAACCTGCTGGCTTCATTTTCACTTGTAAGTTGCTTTGGAGAAAAGTGTCTGCTAAATGCTTAAACATAAATTTAAACACAATTAAAATATTACCATTGTGACTATTGTCATTTATTCTGAAATATAAGTAATTTTTTGAGACCTTCTATCCAGGAAATAAGATGCTTGAATTTGATGAAATCCCACCTTCACAGAATTCCACCCATTTCATGAAGTATCCTAGATGCTAAGCAAAGCCTCATGTGCCACGAAGCCCTCCCTGGGCTGAGGCTTTATGGCTCTGGTAGGGTAACCCATGGGAAACAGGTTCTAGGAGAGAGATCAGACAAAATGCAGCCCAAAGATCCCTTATGAAGATTAACACATATACAGGATGCGGGTCACCGGGGTCCCTCTCTGGAGCCAGGCCTGGATTTGGGGCAAGTTGCCTGGTGCACAGCCCGAAGAGGAGACGTTGGGTCCCCCTTTCCATGAGCTCCCCGCTTGTGGTAGGGGCCACATGGGTGGGTTGCAGTGTGAGATGAGTGGTAGCTGAAGGCGGGAACCTTTGCGGTCCAATCCTCATCTACAAAAGTTAGCTCTCGGTATGTGGAACGTTAATTCTCTGGTGAGGAAAGAGGCATAGTTGGTGTGTGAGGTTGATATAATTGGTTTCACCTCAACACGTATCTTTGGCCCCGGAACTAGTTTCCCTGAGGAGGGTTGGACTTTCTACTTCTCCGGAGTTGCTCCCACTGAGAGACGCTGAGCAAGGGTGGGCATATTTCTTACCCCCTATTGTGGTGCCTGTAGATTGAGGTTCACCCTGGTGAATGAGAGGGTTGAGGGGCTGAGGTCACGTAGGTTGTCAAAAAAACTCCTTGGTGGCAAGTGTCCGAGCAACTCTAAATTGCTGTCCTCACTCTCACAGTCCCCCATGTCTCTTCCCACTCATCATTCACCAAACAGCCGCGCCTACCCACCATTGATTTCCGTTCGACCAAGTTCCACCCGGCCGGCGGGAACGTTTCACTGCCAACGTGCTCCAATGACAAAAGTCCGTTTTTCCGAGCCATAGCCTCCAACTCCTCTCTCTCGCACCGATTGTCAGATCCGGCCCCCGGCTGCCTCTCAGACTGCTGAAGGCACAGCCTTTTTATGCAGATGTTTGCTGATTAGGATAATTCCTCCCAGCTGTGCTCCTCAGCAGCCCGTGAGAGATGAGGAGGAGGGGCAGTGTCAGGCTGCTTCACTATAGCTGAGTGATTCTGGCTGCTTCTCTCCACTGGCCAGACTGGCAACCTTAAAAAGCTCCAAAAACGTAAAATTAGCCAGATATAGTCTGTTCAACCACAAGTTCCCTTCAACAATTCTCCTTTCCGAGTGCATACCCCAGTTCAGGTACTCTGTTGGTTGCTGGAATGATCAGGGCCAGCCTGGTGAAATGGAGTGCATGCTACAAACGTCTGGTAAAATTAACCAGAAATGCTGATAGTGGAAACAGGCCTATAATAAACAATGTGTTTTGTAGGTTTTGACTGGCAGAACATGTTTTTTCTAATAATTGTATATTTGTATTAGCTAATCCTCTTCTGTCTTGTTTTGTCCAGAGATGCCATCATAACCAGCTCCATCAACTCTTTAACCAGTTTCTTCTCTGGCTTTGTGGTCTTCTCTTTCCTTGGATACATGTCCCACAAACACAACGTGGCTCTCGATAAAGTTGCCAGAGATGGTAATAAGCGAAGTTCGCCCTGTCACAACACGTAGCCACGAAGGATTGGTTTTTTTTTTTTTTTTTGGTATTTGTCAGTTTAGACAACAATAGATCTCAGAGATGTGTTTGGATGTTTCCAGCTGAGTGACTAATTCAGGCTAATTCCGCTAACATAAACATGGCTGTAATGTAGACGATGAGCTAAAATTCAGTTAGAACCGGGCTGTCCAGACTGTCTAGGACAAAGGCCAAAATCATAAAGTTAAAAGTCCCCATTGGCCCCAAAAGTTAAATTTTTTTAACAGAAATACCATAAAAATATTTCATAGCGTTTGTTAACTAATCAAAAATAGTTTTTCTTTGAATATGAACATAAACATGATAAAACTGTCAATATACTGTACATCAGCATCCTGCAAAAGTGATACAAATATATCATTCTTCAAAGGCTTTTGGGGGTTCACACAAAATCCCTCCAAGGGCTACAAATGACCCTCGGGCCTCACTTTTGATTTCGCTGTTGTAGAGGCTTGGAGGCATTGATAACACATGCTAACAGATTGGACACAATAATCAGCCCCAACACAAGCGGATCTTGTTTTAAACCTTGACATGAATAGCTGAGTTCAGTATATTAAACTTCAAATTAAATCTTTCAGTTTTTGACCAATCTTTAACATTCCTCTGAACTCCTGCTGTGTTTGTAGTGCAGATGGTTACTTTTCATCTTTAAATCTTGTGTTCTTTAGGAGCTGGGTTGGTGTTCGTCATTTACCCAGAAGCTATAGCAACGTTGCCTGGGTCATCAGTTTGGGCTGTCATTTTTTTCATCATGCTGCTGACGCTCGGGATCGACAGCGCTGTGAGTCCCGGCTTCTTTGTTGTTTGTTTTAAAGTGTTTCTGCGAGGTTTTAATTTTACATGTTAAGATGAAAACTCCATGTTTGTTAGCATTTAACTGTGGTCTATTGTTATTTCCGCATGAAAAAAGATAACCAAACTTGTCTTTGGCTGCATTCATGCATTTTTCCTGTTTCAGCAGCAAATTTCAAGTTTTACTTTGAAAATCCTGTAAAGCGTCAGTGAAAACTAGTTTTGTCATCAGGCCCTGCTCCTCTCCCGGAAGATATTCTCTGTTCTGAAACCTGTCTCCCCTGGCCAGCACAGGATATGTGGCGTAGGCGACTGCTGTCATGTGACAGACTTGGTAGTCCAGATGTTGTGCTAGACTGGCATGTGGTTTTGCACAGGTTTGCGTCCTTTTTTACCTACACTTGCTAGTATTGTGTTTTTAACCTTTCATTGGTGAACTGTTTTACAAAGTAAGGGCTACTCTGTTTTTTATTTGATTATTTTCTATGAGGTGAGCTGAATAAATCAACTAAAATGCCTCTTGGAAATGACCAAATCCAAACATGTGGGAGGTTGAAAAGTTCTGACTAGATATAGTCGGACTCATCTCTACACAGAGCTCTGGCTCCAGAACCAGTTTCTTTGAGAGGGCTTGGGCACTACCACTCTGGAGCTGCTCCCACTGAGAGAAGCCAAGCAGGGGTGGGCATACAAGTTTCCCCCGTCTTGGTGCTTGGGGTTTACCTCAGCGAACATTAGGGTAGCCTCCCTCCACCTATGTGTGGGGGGACAGGTCCTGACTGTAGTTTGTGCTCATGCACCAAACTGCAGTTCAGACCAACCATCCAGCTCCTTGGAGGGGATGCTGGAGAGCACGCCTTCTGGTGACTTCCTCGTCCTGCTGGGGGACTTTTAAGTGACAATTTGTAGTTTTTACCATTAATCTCTGGAAATACCCATTGAAATGTTGTTGTAAATGAATTAAAATATGCCTGGATGATTAATAATATTGGCAGTTTCATAACATATAACCATAAAAATCTGGTCTAAAATACATGGAGCGGGTCTAAGTCCCTGGGCAACGCCATATTGGATGCCATGTTGCCTTCTACGGAAGCCCGTGAGGACAAAATGCATTTACTGAAGCGTAACAAATGGTTGCAAAACTTTCATCATTAATAAACATTGCTGTTTTACACATCTACCTTTTCACTCGTTGCCAGTGATGAAAGGGAATCTGACATTCTTGTAATTTAGCTGGCGGTTGTGCTCCCAGGGATTTTTGACCCTAATGGCCATCTGTTGGTAAGGTCTTACTTGAACACAAAAGTAATGCTTGCTTGCAACGATTTAGGTATGTACTGCCGCCTATCGCCAGGGAAACTACACACATGTAGGCAACGACCATGAGATCCTGGAAAGGTGTGGTTGGGGAAAATGTGCCCCCCCCCCCCCCATTATAAATTGGAGCGGTGTTTTGTTATTGGACTTCTGTGCTCATCATAGATTGTCCTTAATGAACACCATGTTCAGGCATGACGTCCTTGGTGGTTCCTCTGTGCTCTTGGCACCAGGATGCCTTAGGCTGCTGTTATTTCATCTGATCTGAGGCTGCATGTCTTGGACACTCAGGAGAAGAGAGGGGTGAAACTGTCAACTGACCAATACCTGGTGTTTCGATGGTAGAAGAGGAAGCCTTGTCAGACCTGGCAGGCCCAAACGTATTGTGAGGGTTTGCAGGGAACGTCTGAAAGGGTCTCCTGTCAGAAGGAGCTTTAATTTCCACCTGACAGAACTTCCAAAACAGTCCAGGCGAGGTGGGCGACACTGAGTCAGAGTGAGTCCCATTCCATACCTCCATTGTTTAGGCGGCTGACTGGAGCTGTGCATGTTGGGAGTGTGGGTTACCAGGGCCTCTGTTATGAGCTGTGTGACCGGTGTCAGTGCTTGGTCTGCATTGCCGGCATTAAGTCTGGCTTGCTTCTGGTGAGAGTTGGACTCTACCAAGGCTGCCCTTTGTCACCGATTCTGTTCATAACCTTTATGGGCAGGATTTCTAGTGGCCCACAACGTGTTGAGGGGATCCGTTTTGGTGGCCTGAGGATCAAGTCTCTGCTTTCTACAGATGATGTGATTCTGTTGGCTTAATCAGAACATAATTGTTGGCGTTCGCTGGAGTGGTTGGCTGGCGAGTGTGAAGCAGCTCCACTAGATCTGAGAGCATGGTCTCGAGTCCGAAAAGGGTAAAATGCCTTCTCCAGGTCAGGGATGAAGTCCTGCCCCAAGTGGCGGAGTTTACGTATCTCTGTACGCGTACCTGTACGCTTTTACAATTGGCACCAAAAGGAGTGGCACTCCAATTTCGCTGTACCTTGTACAACGACAATATAGGCTATTCTATTCTATTCTATTCTATTCTATTCTATTCTATTCTATTCTATTCTATTCTATTCCAGAGAAGCCAGTAGATGTGGCTCGGGTATCTGATTAGGATTCCTCCTGGATGTCCAACCGGAAGGGGACCTAAAGGAAGACCCAGGACACGTAAGAGGGACTATGTCTCTCTGCTGGCCAGGGAATGCCTTGGGATTCTCTCAAAAGATCTCGCCCAAGTGGCAGGGGAGAGGGAAGTCTGGGCCTCTCTGCTCAGGCTGTTGCCGACCGCAACACGAGTCTGAATAAGCAGAAGAAAGTAGATGGATGGAAATTCAAATATCTTTAGAGAAACTAAATATTTTGCAGAAAATAATCAATGAAACTAAAATAGAAAAACATGAAATCTGCCTCAGCTGGCTAAATGAATACTGCCCACACCGGAAGTCCAACCCACACCAGCACATGGCAAAACTAAGATGTCACAGATGCCTTAACCACTGGATTACCATAGCCAATACATAAACTGACTCGCTTAAGATACTGTCGTAGGCATGTTTTGTCGGAGCGGGCGTGGGAGGAGTTTCACTGCAACTAAGTGTTTTATTTCTGGGTATAAATTAAGGCAGACAGAAATAACTCGTATTTATGATAAATGACATCTCAGAACTGCCAACATTAATATGTTCTCATGTACTGTGCCTACCTTTGTTCTCAAAGGTTTAAAATAGCATGATTTGGAACCTTTAAGTGATCAAAACAAAACAAAAAAGTGAAAAATTTTCTTATATTTAGTCTTTGAGTTGTAATAAGAATCTAAATTCAATTCAATTCAAAAATACTTTATTAATCCCAGAGGGAAATTGGTTAAACATCTCTTGTTTGATTTTCAGACTTTGTGTCTGTGTGCTTCCTGTTTCAGATGGGTGGGATGGAGTCGGTGATTACGGGTCTAATTGATGAATTCAAATTCCTCCATAAGCATAGAGAGCTGTTCACCCTTTTCATCGTTGTTTCCACATTTCTCATATCCCTCTTCTGTGTCACGAGTGTAAGTGATTTTCATAGTTTTAGAAACTCTTTCATAATACATTTGTTTTTTTAGAACAGTGGATTCCCATCTGGGGGTCCAAGGCCCCCCTTGAAGGGGTCCCCACAATTTTCCCCACAATGTATATAAAGTATAATCAAAATTCTATATTCTTTATGAAGTTTGTTATAAATCACTTTTACATGTGTTCCTAAGGGTAGGAATTGGGGTTTGGGACCCTGACTCATCTTGGACACAGGAAAGGGGGTCCTTGTAAAACAAGTTGGGAACCACTGTTTTCTATCATTGCAATGACACAGAGATAAAATTTAATCAAAGATTTCATGCCGTCCAACTAAAATAAGATGATGCAAAGTGTCAGTCCACCTCATCAAGGGATTTAATTTATATTTTGGTAGTTTTTAGTTTAATTTTGCTGATGAAACACCAGTAATAGATTTTTTCTTCCACTCTCAGGGAGGAATGTATGTTTTCACGCTGTTGGACCACTTTGCAGCAGGAACATCGATTCTCTTTGGAGTGCTTATTGAAGCCATCGGCATCGCGTGGTTCTACGGTGAGAAAGGAAAGAGCTGTGAAAAACACTTGATTCGTTTTTTTCCCAGACCAGCAAGGCTGATGCTTTATTAAGAGGTCTGATGAGACATCTGTTGTTTTTGGGTGCTCTGTGCCACAACAGGGTATGTCTCTATTAGAGACAAAAAAAATAAATAAATCTTGCAGCTAGGCTGTGTTTCTACTAATAATGTTGGCCACTTCAGGGCCTGTGCATGGACTGATAGCACACGGTTGATGTTTGGGACCAAGAAACTTCCATTTGTAATATGCAGGAACAGACCTGGCCAGCCATCCTTTATATGTGAATATATTGTCTGACCATGACTCATAGAGAGATCTCAGTGGTGGGGTGGAATCTACGGTTGTTCTTCAAACCGTCTCTGCGCGCTATTGGACAACAAACAACGTGATGTACTCACAGATACGGATGACAGTCAATGGGGCAGTCTGCTATACACCATAGATGAAAATGCAAATATGCATTTTTTTTTCTAAATTAAGGAGTTAATTACCTCTGTCTGCTTTTGACTCAAAGAAAAACCCAAGTCTAAAACGTCCAAAACCGTTTCAAACCAGCTGTCAGCGTCTTTGTTTTTTCTCAGTCACAGTAACATCCCACCTACCAGTCAGCTGGGATCGGTTAGAATTGGGTGAATGGTATAGCTATTGGTCGAAGTTGGTGGAGGAGTTTAAGTGCCTGCCCCGTAATCGAAAAGTTTGCGGGTTTGAGCCCCACTTAGTGTGTTGCAGTCGCCCTGCTGCATGCAGACAATTTTGCTACCATGCTATGGCCTGGCAGGTGGCCAAGCAAGGGCCCACCAGGCTCATAAATCACTGGGGGAAACCCCGGTTGAAGTGGTGGCAGCTGGCTGTTTCTCTTTGATATTATTGAGAACCTCTCACACCAGCGATGTTCTGATGATGAATGCAGAACCCAAGGAAGTGCGGCAAGACAGACAACCGCATGGTCCAATCATTGCTTTCAGCCCGAGTTGTGTTATTGGCTGAGGATTTTAGACAAATGCAACAAAACCACTACATTATTATTTTTTTCATCTATTTAATCTCACAATATATTTATAGCTATGCTATGTTAGATTTTTTATTATGAAAAATTACTTTCAGCTCATTTGTTTTCTAAATTTGCTATCGTAGCTTTAATCAATGCCTCACGCGTTTGCACGATTTCTTTATGATGTTGACACAGTAGAAAAATATTCCAGATGTCTGTTGGAACATTTTTAATGTGGACTAAGCTCAACTGTGGAGAGGTGAAGAGAGGACTACATTCTGACAAAGCCCCAAGCAGAAGGGGCCAGCGTGTTGCCCCATTGGTAGGTCCTGGCCTTGGCAAGTCAGATAAATCAAGCCTGAGGCTTTTGTGAGTTTTGGTTGGTCCTTTTTACCCCCATCTTTATAACAGCTGACAGGAATCCTCGACCCCTGACTGCTGTGTGCTTTAGAACATTTAGTTTTACTGGAAACCTGCTTGTCAGTCTGAATACATGTCTTTGCCTTGAGAAATGCCTTCTGGACAAAAAGTTCAACAGCAGCATGAGTGATGAAAATCTTGTCTGAAGAATGAAACACAGCAAGAACAGCATTATATCAGGAACGTAGCTTTTTTTTATTCATTTATTTTTTTCCATTCAGTGCTAAATCAGTTAGAATTTTGTTGCAACCAGGACCTCCATTTCACCTTTGACTCCTGTTTCTAGTCAAGCCTTCACAAAGATACAGGTGTTGCTTTGTGTTTTAGGAGTGGATCGATTTAGTGATGACATTAAAGAGATGATTGGTCAGAGACCAGGCAGGTACTGGAGGCTGTGCTGGAAGTTTGTCAGCCCCTGCTTCCTCCTGGTGAGTCCCACACACCCTGATCATAGATAGGCAATGCAAAACAGAAAATAATGCATATGTTTTTTTGTTTTTCAAAAATAAATGCCTTGCATAGTTGAAAGCCAAGTGGGCAATGAAATTTAGTGGAAATAAGTAGGTTTTCTTCTAATATTTATTTTACCAATGCAAAAGGTCAGCAAGCTGCAGCTCCAGGGTCACAGATGCTTCTTTGGACCTTCCATATATAGCTTTCAATAACTTAATACACTCATGCATCATTAAAAAAAAACAGATGTCACAAAAATATCAAGTTTAAGTAGCTTTTCTGTTTTTATGGAATTTTTGCATCGAATTTCCACAACAGAATGACACTAAAAGTACCAGAAATATTGTTCACACCCATTTATTACATTTTGTTACACAATTTTCAGCAAATATAAACATCTAATAGAAAAGAAATCCATATTATTTTACAAAAGTTAATTTTTTTACAACATGTGTTTTGTTATGACAACAAATCTCTTATAGTGGATTTTTACCAAAGAGGGAAAAAAAGATTTTGGACTTTAAGCCCAGAAAAAGTCTGATTTCTGATCTGTTTTTTTAATGAAAAAAAAGAGGACACAATTTTTCAGTGGCTTTTATGTAGATATTTGTCTAAACGTATACTTTGTTTAATTTTAGAAGGTCCTATAACAGTTGTGTTTCTAAATAAGTTTTATTTGAATGGACTGAGGGTAACAACGGCTCTTTGGAGGTTAAAGGCTGCAGACCCCTGCAATAGATGAAGGAATCTGCTTTTCAACCTGCTCTCTAGAGAGGGATATGACTCAATAAATGCATTTTTTCACAGTTTATGGTTGTGGTGAGCTTTGCCACATTCAACCCTCCAAACTACGGCTCCTATATGTTTCCTCCATGGGCCAACATGCTGGGGTGGTGTCTGGCCATGTCCTCCATGGCCATGGTGCCGCTCTATGCCATCTACAAACTCTGCACATTGCCTGGGAGATTTTGCAACGTGAGTCAAAACTATGTCCATTTATCGATATAAATGTCATCGATTTTGGGAGATTTACTGTTTGAGTCTTCTTTAACAGCGGCTGGCCTATGCCATCACCCCTGAGACAGAGCATCATCTGATTGAGAACGGGGAGGTTCGGCAGTTCACCGTAAGTGTCTCCTTGATCTTTTTTGTACTTTTACGTAAACATCACTGCATTTCAAGTATGTTTCATAGATTTATGTTCGTTGTATTAATCTCCTTTACATAATTTCAAGTGTTTGATCTCATTTTTTAATGTTGTTTTTCTGTAAAAATTACTTGGTTTAGTACAATATTTGTTTTTCACTGGATTGACAAGCTAACAGCTAGCTGGGTTCAAGACCAAAATGGTTTGTGTCTCTCGTAAAGGTTAAATATGGAACAATTTAGTAAAAAAAAAGCTATATTTAAAAAATAACACCTCTACGGGATGTTTAGAGCTGTGCAGAATGAAGGTGCAGTTTTTCCTTTAAAAGCTATATTTTAAAGGTGCATTGTGTAGAAATAAAGTAAAAATGACATCCTGTGGTAAAATGTGGTTACTGCAACCACTTTAAAAAACTCTGGAAATTTTTGCCGGCCGTCGTCAAATTACAATACACTCACTAATGGTAAACAGTAGTTATGTCCCTCATTAATTTGTTTTGAAAGGAGAAAAACTGTTAATCCAGCAGCCAGCTGGATATGAAACATTTTTCTTTTTTTTTTTCTTTCTTCCAAAATGACTGAGACATCAGACTCTTTGTGATTTTCTCACTGTAAAGTTTTCACTATATTCTTACATACTGCACCTTATTTAACCCTCCCAGTGTCTTCATGGGTGACCCCACAAGAAAAGTTGACCATTGAGCAGGGTTGATGGTTTATCCCTTGGGCCCATGTGGCAGGGGTGAGGAGTGAGCACCACCCAAACCCCACAATGCGGGTCTGAAATTGAGGCCAACGCGGAAGTTAAATAAATTGCAGTTCCAGCCTCATCCACTGGTGTCAGAAGCGAGCAAATCCTCATTGACTCCCATGTTAAAAATACCAATTTCACAGCAGAAATAAACATGTTTACAGCCTGGTTCCAAAACATGTTTTTTGTTTAAATGATCTAATTTACACTCATGACAACTCTGACGGGTGAATTTTTTTGACACTCTTCTGTTTAAGTGTATTAAAAGCCTAAAATTCTGTGTAATTAATGAGCATCAGATCCACGTGACCACAGAACACCGTGGAAAGGCCTCAGTCTGAGCCTCTGTCTCGCCTGAAAACTGTTCCGTGATTTTTAGTCTCTGAACTTAGACCAGTAGTTGTAGCGTTTGTGTATTATTTTTTGGATATTATTTGTGCAATTGTTGGACAAAATGACTTGCTGTGGTATTAATTGCACTAAAAGAGCGTCCAAGGACTCTCCACTTCATTTTTTTCCGGTAAGTAAAATTATATTTATGTATTTTAGGTCACTGCTGCTTTTGCACTAGCTGAGCTTATCAAAGTAGCTAGCTAACTACCATTTTAACATTTACTGTTTCACCATGAAATTTAGATGTAATACGGTAAAATAATTAATAGGGTATATGTCGATGGGTGTAAACCCCAGTGCATTTAACATAAAAATGGGTTGAAATTTGACATGTTGGTGGAGCTCTCGGAGGGAGACTTCTGTGTTCCATTCTTCCACCCGGTTCTCCCCAGCGGTCAGCCCGGCGCATCTCTGACCGCTTCAGCGCCTGTCTGCTGCGCGGGCTGACCGCTTGTTTAATAAAATGGAAATTAGTTAATAAAATTGATTATTAAAAGGTTCATATCCTCTCCAATAAGGCGACAGACTCAAGTGTTTGGTTTTATATTGTTTTTTTATAAAGTATGCATTTTGTATTACTCTTTATCCTAATTTTAGACCTTTTACTACAGGCCATGATAAGCTATTAAGTATTTTAAACCCATATGCTTAAGTAGTTCTTTGTATGAAGTTTTCCTCTAGGTGATCCAGAGAGGCTTGACCTTTGGGTAAGCAACCAAAGAAGAAAGTGCTGGACTCCCAATTCACTCTCCCGCTTGTGCAGTGAACACTTTGAGAGTCATCACTTCACCACGGACTCCAGGGTACAAACACATTACTTCATATTTTGGTTAAGATTGAAAAAATTGAAGCATTAGCTGTATAATATACAGATGTTACATTGCTGTGTAACTAGAAAAACATTTTCCCCCTCCCTTGAACTGTTTGTGACTGGGGCTGTTTAGATGGGGAAACAATCACGCTATTAATTTACATCTAATTCTATGGTTGATTACTCTGATAACCAAATTAATTTTTTGTCAGTCTTTAATGTGTAACTTTATGTATTGGGATGAATGAAAAATATTCATTTTAAACTAAAATGTTAGGCATTTAAGGAGAAATAACAAAATAATAAACATTCTACTGGTGTCAAATAAATCAAACTGTAATTAAAATATATATTTTCAAAGTCTGGATGAAATCTAACAACATATGCTTTATAAATAACAAACACTCTCCACATGGCTTTTACACACACACACACACATGCATGCACGCAAGCACGCGCGCACACACACACACACACACACACAGTGCTCTGGTGTACCAGTGGGTTTTTGAGATACAGAAATTGACCTTGTCTGACGTGTGTGTATATGTGAATCTCTTTATTTATTTATTTATTTATTTTTTATTTTAGGGAGACTTTGCCTGAAGGACACAGCTGTACCTACAATCTTCTCCTCCTTTAAGGTCAAAAAACATCTTCCATCTTCTCCAATTTCCCTCTGGGCTTAATAAAGTATGATTGATTGATTGATTGATTGATTGAAGTAGGAATGACAAGGTAAGTGACAACCCCATTTGTTTTGTAAATAGTTTTGAGAAGGTTGCAGATGTAGATGCAGGGGAAGACAGTACCATAAAAGTTGCTGTTGATCTGAGCAATATAATGATGTGTGAAGACTCAGCTTTAGAGGTCTTTGTTACTCAAAATGTAACACATGATGACATTCCTCTGCAAGCAGTTGAGTGTGATACTGCTCATTTTGGTCACAGTGTTCAACACCAGAATGACTCAGACTCTTGTCAGTTTAACACTGAGCCATTACAGCCAAAAAGCATCCTGAGTGACCATTGCTATCAAATCACAGTCTCCCAAAATGATTAAAAGGAGAGATCTGTCAGCAAATGAAAAGGTACGTGTAGTTCAGCAGTTTCTTAGGAGGCTGAGCGGGTTGTCCAGTAATTGGAAGGTTGCAGGTTCGATCCCGGCTCTGGACAGAGAATTCTGCTGTTGTGTCCTTGGGCAAGACACTTAACCCACCTTGCCTGCTGGTGGTGGTCGGAGGACCCGGTGGCGCCTGTGTTCGGCAGCCTCGTCTCTGTCAGTGCGCCCCAGGGCAGCTGTGGCTACATTGTAGCTCATCACCATCAGTGTGTGAATGTGTGTGTGAATGGATGAATGAATGATACACTGTAGTGTAAAGTGCTTTGGAGTCCTTACTCTGAGAGGTACCATACAAGTGCGGGTCATTTATCATTTATCTATTCAGAACAAGCTTAGATTGCAATCCCAGAAGACAAGGAGATTGAAGGCAATAATTTCTTCTTTGAAAAGTGTCACCAAAATTCTTCAGAAGAAACTTCTAATACCAACTGAATGTGCCTCTCTTCTTGATGGTTTGGATGGTGTTCCAAAAGAATGGTTTCTGTCACGATCCAAACTCAGAAGACCCGTAATGACGCCAAACACAGTACAAAGAGATTTTTAAAAAGTTTTTATTTGCAGCAGAGTTACCAGGAGGGCGAGACTGGAGACGGAGTCAAGGACAGGCGAAGGTCGAACTGGCAGGCAGCGTGCAAGGCAGGGGTCAGGAGAAAAACAAGGTCCGGAGGCAGAAAACAGGCAGGGAGAATGGCTGGAAGATTTACTAGCAATAACGTTCAATAATCTAGCAGTGAATGACTGGATGGCTGGTTCTTTTGTAGGAGGTAGAAACAGGTGTGAGTAATGAGCTGAGGAGTCAGGAGCTGGTGAAGAGGATGAAGGCTGATTGCAGGAACAGGTGAGATGAATGAAGTTGATTGTGATGCTGACTGAGGTTGCTAGGGAAAACAGGGCTTGGCTGGAGCTTGGTGAGGGGACCAGGTGAGCTGAATGAAGAGTAAATGAGGAGGCAGAGGAGGGTGAAGGATGGGAGTCATGACAGTTTCAGAAAATAAATCAGAAGAAAAGATCATCTTTTTCTGAAAACTTGAAGCAATTTGCAACTACACTGCATTTTTACTCTCTGAAGGCTTATGACTGTGCTAGAGAACTCAACTGTCCACCTTTGGCTAAATGGCAACATTTTTTCAGTCTGGCTAAAAGTCGGTTTAGTCTGTCTCATAATCATGACAGTTATGTCATACTGAACAACAGTTGTATTTGTTTCTAATTTGAATGATTCTGTTTCAGGTGGAATTGCTGTGTGACTCCTGTGTCCTGTGGCCCATGACCTGTGTCAGCCCGGTTCTGGATGTGGCCTTGCTGAGTTATCTGTAGCAAGGAGCTCGGCTGTCTGGGAGGTGGTCTGAGTTGGTTCTGTGCTCTGTGGTGGCTGCTGGTTTCCTGGTGCTTGGGGCAGTTCCAGAGTGCACCTGATCCTTGGAGGTCTCACACTTCACATCCCAGCTCACGCACAAACACATGCTTGTTGATGTTTGTTGTTCGTGGTTTACATGTTTATAGTTGTTCATCCCACGTTTTCTTGATGATTCTTAGAAATGTTTCGTCACAGGTGCAGCAGCTGGTTGCTGTTTTTTTTATGTTGGATTCCTAGTTGTTTTTATATTTCTCCCTTATTTACTTGTTTTGTCCTCTATCAACCCTCTTTATTCCAGATTGGTTCAGCATTTACATGCTAATGTGGTGATACATAACCCAAACCAATATTACAATAACATAAATTTTATTCAAGGGGAAACTCGTACACAAAGGGCTCCTCTTGATAGAGCAAATCTGTTCAGCACATTCTGACAGACAGACCACCATTCGTCTGTCATGATGCTGTACAGGACATTTTTAGAGTTTTTCTTGTTAAAGATAAATAGCATTACATTTAAAGAGTAATACTTTCATATTATCCTTT